CCTGGACTCACCTGTACTTGCTCTCCCGTCCTCAGACGCTGCGCTCCCGTTCTCGATCTCCACTGGGCTTTGCCAGTGCACCTTCAGTTCCCGTTTTAAAATAAAGATTCTTTTTTTTACCATAAGATCTGTGAGTGTGTGATTCTGCATGTCTTGGGTTAAACGCATTCCCCAAACCATGTCAGACAAAAACCGAGTGGATCCCAGTTTCACTAAGCAGGCCAAAGCGAACAGTAAAAACTAATGGATGTGCTCTTTGTAGTTCTAATTATTCCACAGCATTACGCAAAAGGAATTTACAACAAACAGGAGTAACACCATTTGGCTAAAGCAGCACACAGAGGAAACCAAAACTGCAGTACATTCAGAAATACATGACAGTTTCTTGACAGATTTGTCAACTAGTTTAACATTTTTGAGTGTAATGACTCAAGCAATGAAATGAGGACTGTTAGTTTTATGGGGAATTACTATTCAGCATTGCTAAATATACAGTTTGTTCTGACATGACATAAACAAATGATACTGTTATAAAACAACAGAGGGATGAATGTATGGAAGCTGTTGAGGCATGTCCAAAAGCATTTGCAATTTGTTGGAAGGAATGACAAACTGCTACTATGATGTGCATAAATGACTAAATGTTATGGAGGTCAAACTAAAATGAGAATATTAAAGGCACACTTTGGCTTGCATTTAGCACCCCCTAGTGTCCGTTCAGTAGAATCAAAAGCAACACTTTTCTCCTCTATGTGGTCATCGTTTTAACACCTTAATCTAACAGCTGAAACATCTCCCCAGCCTTCCTAAGTGTCTACAGGAGTGATTCATCACTAAGTTAAACAAATCAGCTGTGCTCGTGAACTTAACATGCAGGAAACTTGCTGGAAGCAGACTGAAGTGCCAGATATGTTAGCCCTATATTTCTCTTAGTCCAACAGACTGGACCCGCACTCTGAAGTTGCAAGTGCGATATTCTGGCCACATAAGGCGTTGGTGGTCTTTGTGAAATTCCATTAACCTTTTAAAGGATCATTCTAGCACATACGGGATGAGAGATTTAAAAATATTAGAAAGTTGCAAAGTATGGCTTTACCTATGATCAGAGAAAGGCACAAAAACTATCGAAAAACACAATAAATGCATTTCCTACCCCATCCAGATGCTCAGATTGAACTTCAACAAGTCTGGATGTCTAAATACACAGAGCTGCTGTCCTGTGATTGGCTGATTAGATTTTTGTCTTAACGAACAGTTTAACAGATGGGTCTAACAGGTGACCATAGACACTCCTTGTTATGTTCTTTCTGTGTATCTTTTCAATTTCCATTGTTTTATTTTTCTTGATTAATACACAGCAAAGGTTTTTTTAACCTTAATTTTCTGAAAGTTTCATCGTCACACAGTCGCCATCTTCAGAGCCTCGCCAGTGTTGATGGCGTTACATCAACACCAGCGAGGCTCTAAAGATGGTGAATGTGCATCAAAATATGAAGTTAGTTTTACCACAATTTTTGTCCAGGCCTGTTCCATGAGTTTTTTTTTAATAATTCCGTTGATGCATGGTTGAAAAGCAATGTCTGACTTTCACTGGTTAAATTTCATAGAATTTTTATTTATTATTATTTTTGTCAGATTCAAGTTATTTCTGTGATCTTTCTATGTTTTTTTCATTGACTTAGGGGTACCATCAATTTTGTCCACGTCTGTTTGTAAATAACATCTCGGAGTTATTGGGCTTCTTGGAGGAGTACATTTGCAATGCATTAATACATTTCTATACCATTTTCTTAAAGATTTTAATTTATATTACATAAAAAAGTAGCAAGTTGATATTTTTTTAAATATCGCCTTCTAACCATCTATCCTTTCATCCATCCATCCATCCATCCATTCAAACTAATCTTTATAAAATGATTCAGTTCTTCTTCAGCCAACCACAGACAGACTTCATCAACAATTTCTGATCTCTGAATTGTCATCCAGGTGCTCCTCCTGAGGCTAATAGATATTTTAGACTTTATTTTTAATCACGTGGACTTTCTGAAGACAGAAATAACATATTGTGATATTTGAGGGCATAATTTAAGGGTATCTGTTTTTACAAGTTTGCACAAAAACAGACTCGATATCTCAGTGCAACCCTGTCCTAAACGTGCAGAAAATGCTTTAAAAGATCATTCTTAAGTCCATTCTTATTTCTGAAAAATGATTTATGACATAGAAAAAAAAGACATTGTACTCAATAGTATCTACAATGTCACCCAGACCCTCCTTGCTGATGACACTGTCCCATGCGCGATCCAATGTGAATACTGCATTGTCTCTCTTCATGGTTTTGAGTCCACGACTCCGTATTTCTATTGCTTCTTTGATCCATCATTTGTATTTTTGTTGTTCTGCGTTTATGATCCGTGTTCTGTCGCAGTCCATTATATGATTCCTTAGAAAATTAGAAGGCAACATCATCCTTTGAGGCGTGCGGATAAATTGAAGTGATGTCACCAACACTGGCGAACTCTGATGATGGCTAGAGTCATCAGCCAAAACATGTAAGGTAAAAAATAAAGTATTTTTTTAATGCGCTGTGCAAAAAATAGAATAAAGTAATGGATTATGAAGTTACACACAGAGATAATGTACAAAAGATTTATTTTCTGCTTAGAGGTGGAAGGTTTGTGATCACCAGCCTCTCTCACTGATGACCTGAAACACAGGAATGTCTGGATGAACAAATGAAAACACAGGCCTTTAATGGTGCATGGTTCTCACCAAAGTGTAATTTCTGTTTTACCTAAGTTTATTTGCTTGATGCCATCATCCTATTATTGTTTAACAGGCCTACATACTGTATTTTTATTAAAATTTGTGGCACAACAGTGTTTTAAACCTTTTGCATTGTACCCACCCTTGCAATGACGCACAAAATAACGAACAATTATGTGGTTTTGAGGTAAAACACATCATACTTATGGGAGCATCTGGCACGATCCCAGATGCTAATTAGAAATGTATTATATTTGGGACTGCAGTCAGGTGTGGACAGGTGTGTAACAGGGCAGGGTTGGTGTGGGGTTGGACAAAATGCAAATTAAGGTACTTTTAGTAATAACACCTTTCAGAAAACACATACAGATAATTGCTTTGAACTGAGTAAAATTATAGGCCTCTAGAAAATTAAAAGTACAGACAGATAAATCGTACTTAAATGTGTGGAACTCAGAAAAATCATTTTTCTATTTATATTTCTGATTATGATCAATAACTTTGAGTTTTTCATGCAGACTGAACAGGAAAATAGTCTCCTACAGCTATCATTGGCCTCTGATAGAAGTCAGACAGCGAAACTCTAGGATTTGAAAAGTCTTACCGCTCTACGTCAAGCAGTTGCTTGGACTCACCCATATTGACTCAAGACGGGGAGGGCTGTTGTCGTTTTAGCGTCCAGCAAACTGCAGGAAACGTCTCGGCTAACCGAAGCTAATCGTCAGCATTAACAACTCAACCACACGGCAGAAACTCCTCCAGGCTTGCGTAATTTTTGGAGATAAAATGTTCATGTCGCAGAACAAACTGAGTTAGTGGTAGAGTTGTGTTGCTGTTATTCAATCCAAGGTGAGTTGTCCAAATATCGGGAAATAAGACTCCAAATTCTGCTGTCTGCTGCCACCACAGACATATGTAGATGACTCATGGACTGGTGCTGCCTATTGGTGCTGCCATAGTGACTGGTCACCATATGTATATACACTCACCTAAAGGATTATTAGGAACACCATACTAATACGGTGTTTGGCCCCCTTTCGTCTTAAGAACTGCTATGTGGCATTGATTCAACAAGGTGCTGAAAGCGTTTTTCAGAAATGTTGGCCCATATTTATAAGATAGCATCTTGCAGTTGATGGAGATTTGTGGGATGCACATCCAGGGCACGAAGCTCCCGTTCCATCACTTCCCAAAGATGCTCTATCTGGTTGAGTACAACTTGCAAGACATTTAATCCTACCATAGACCACTACAAATGTAATGTATTGATTAGACGAGTTTCCCATACTTTTAACAGTACTTTGTTACATGCAGTCGCTGTTAAACTCATAACTGGCAGCATGACAATGTCACCTAACTTCCTTTTTGACTAACAATGCTGTACTTTCATTGACAGAAATATGCTTTAGATGCATGGATGTGCACTTTTTCAAATAATCATCAGTGGAGCAGTTTGCACTGATTGGGTTGAGAAATGGCGTAACTGATGTGCAAATGTTAATGATTGGAGAAATGCACCAAAGCATGATAGACAGATAGATAGATAGATAGATAGATAGATAGATAGATAGATAGATAGATAGATAGATAGATAGATAGAGATAGATAGATAGATAGATAGATAGATAGATAGATAGATAGATAGATAGATAGATAGATAGATAGATAGATAGATGATAGATAGATAGATAGATAGATAGATAGATAGATAGATAGATAGATAGATAGATAGATAGATAGATAGATAGATAGATAGATGATAGATAGATAGATAGATAGATAGATAGATAGATGATAGATAGATAGATAGATAGATAGATAGATAGATAGATAGACAGATAGATAGATAGATAGATAGATAGATAGATAGATAGATAGATAGATGATAGATAGATAGATAGATAGATGATAGATAGATAGATAGATAGATGATAGATAGATAGATAGATAGATAGATAGATAGATAGATAGATAGATAGATAGATAGATAGATAGATAGATAGATAGATAGATAGATAGATAGATAGATAGATGATAGATAGATAGATAGATGATGGATGGATGGATAGATTGTGCCCTCATCATCAATCAGATTAATTAAAGTGCTTCCTGTCACGACTCCTGCAGATGTGCTGTCATTGAGGTTCAGATCATATTGCGGCATTTTTGTACTTGCGCGCCAGAAGAGCAAAGGTGCGAGAAGCCGAAGCACGCGCTTTACGTGGTGCCTGGGGTCCAACACACTCATCGTCCATTTACGTTTATTATCGTGTCTGAGTCGGCGCGTGGGTGTCTGTGTGTGAGGGTTTGTGTTTCGCTGAGGGGAACGATGAGGGGGTGGGCGTCCTGCCGCAGGGAGCGCGGCTGAGCCGGTGGAATCAGCGAGCGCGCCTCCGTCGAATCTCCGCTTCCGACCGTCACACCCACCGCTCGGTGTCGTGGGCTCACCTCGCTGAAAGGGGGAGGACCAACTGCTCCGCGGCTACGAGTGCTGCAGTGCGAGCGCAGCGGGGGACTCGAAGACAGAAAACACACACACATAAACACACATCTGCTGCTTTATTTCCAAAAATTGGTCCATGGAGAGATCCGCAGAAGCGCCATAGCGACGCAGGCCGACATGGAAGAGTATTTGCGGAGGGTCCAGAGCAGACTCGGGGTGAGTTCATAGCCCTCAGCGGCGTTAACACCAGGTTGTGGGTATAAAGAATGAGATCATGACGGGGGAGCTGCTTTTTGCTGCGTACAGACTGCGTTCCTGTTGCTGACAAAAGCTTTTGGGTCCCCACAAGCACCTGCAGATCGCCTGTATCAGATTGGAGGCGAGGGAAAGGCGTGCTTTGATTCCCCCTCCTCCCCCAAAACCCCTCAACATTATGCATTTAACATCGATGCATGTGCATATGGGTGATCCGCTGGTTTCGAATGAAGGAAAGGCATCAAAAACTTTATCCTTCCCTCTGCTTTGCTGATTTGAACTAATTTGCACTTTACCATGTGCTGAATATGTTCAAGTAGCCAGAGAACCCCCTCATGCAAATACTGAACAGGCTACAGGCTGGGAGACAGACTCACTGTGTTCTTTTTGCATTGCTGCGTTGGCCTTTGCACATTTAGTCTATCAGAGGTGTAAATATTGCACACCTTTTGCTTATTTCTACCTGTGTTTGTTTAAATGACCACTTCTATCCTTATTACCTCCTCTTAGGTATGTTCTTACTGTGTCTAGTTTCTAATTCCATTTTGGGTTCTTTTTAAAACACAGGAAAGGTTACTACTTCCTGTTCAGCTTCTGAAGACCTACACAAATGAACTGTTTTGTGGATTTGGTCGTATTTTTCTATATTGAAGTGGAATGGGGGGCACGTTATGGTAATCAAATACTAAACATAGGCTATTTGGTGTCCTGACCGATGTGTTTTATCCATTAAGTCTAATTATCGTCCGTTTATTTAAACCATTTTGGAGCTTCACTGTCATTTTTAAAGGACATTAGCAGCCACAAATGTCAGGATGTAGCAAATATTAGCAAAGATTTTATAATTGTCATCTTTTTGTATGAGCCACACAAAACAACCCTTATATTTTCTCAGAGGTGTTTTAATATGTGCCAAAGCTGGCATCATTAAATCACAGAAAGCCTCGAGTATGAATTTTCTGGCAATTTGAGGCCCATATGAACCCAAATAGATTAGAAGATTGATTTAAAATCAGCGTATTGTAACCGGAGGTTCATCAAATGTGGCAATAACCCTCGAATCATGCTTTCATTCAATATTCAACTGCTCTGCAGCATCCGGGGTCCTCAGATTACCCATGTAAGTACGTCTGTATGAAATTCAAGATCGTAATCTGTTTGGATTGAAGATTTGGAGAGAAAATTGGGAGCTTTTTTTATGATGCACTTTACATGAACACTTTGAAAGCAGTGAAGAAGAAGGGATCAAAAAGGCAAATTGGCAGATCAGAGCGCAGCAGGGTAATTGAGTGATAAGGAGGCTAGCCGATGAGTGTGTTGGAGGTTTATGACAAAGTCTAACACATGCTCATTTACACACACACACACACACACACACACACACACACACACACACACACACACACACACACACACACACACACACACACACAAACTCCAGTAAAGCCTTTTGACGATCCACTCTTTTGCTGACCACTCTTTATCTCCGTTCTTCTTAAGCTCCTCTCTCTTGGTAGATGGCCATGGTCCAGAACACCCATACCCCTAATTGGCTTGGCTCTCTGTACTTACAGAATCCATCTCATCTCTCACTCAGTTTTTCTCTTATAGATCCTCCTCATTTGGCATGGAGCTAGAACTATCTGCTGAGTGTACTTCCAGCATCTGTCCTCCTCAGTCTACACATTTATACTCACACATAAAAAGCCTTTTCAGTTCTTTTTTGCCTATTTGGTCATTTAAACTTGAATATTTTTTTTTCAAAATGTCTTGATCTGTCTAGCATCTCATCTAACATAAGCGTTAAATGAAACTTAAGCGTTAAATGAATTATGTGCGCTCAGTAGATGCAAAAGTGCAGATTTCCAGGAAGTAACTGCATCATGTCATCATCAAAGCACATCGTCAGATTTTTACGCTTGCTAATCTGTTCCAGAGACACTACCTGAGGTGGCCCATTAGTTATGTGTTTGAATCAGAATCACAAAATAATGTAGCGAAGTGAGTAAATTCTCTCTTTTTCTTTCAGAAAAACAGTTTTCAGCCAACCATCACAAGATAGCAGCTGCATTTGGTGTGACAGGGAGGGGGAGCACTCAGATTGAAAGATATCAGATGGCTAATACACACACACACTTCCTCTTCTGGCTATCCACTATTGATTTAGCTTCCCTCTCTCTCTTTTTCACTCTCTCACATGCTCCCTCGCTCACACATCCCCTCTCCACCACACTCTTTCCTTTCCTTTCTTTCTCCTTCCCTCTTGCTCAGTTTTTACTTCTTCACGTTTTTTTTACCTACTTCTGCTTATCACCTATTTTTTTCCTGCCATCATATTTTTTTCCACCTGTCTGGCGTTTTTTCCTCTCTCCTTCCACACTTCTCCCTCTACACATTTGATCTACCTCTTCTTATTTGATCCTCCTCTTTTCTAAAATCTTTTATAAACTGCTTTCCTTTTTTTTCCAGTTTCACCACAATTTCTTCCTGCTTTTCTCACTTTCAGTCTTATTAACGGCCACATATCTTTCTCTTGTCTGCCCCGTTCTCTGTACTTTGATGTTTGAGGATTTCTCTTTTTTTTATCCATCTGGTCTGGTTGATGAGGTCCTCATAAAGTGTTATGTCAATGTGGTGGAAAATAAACTCTTCCTGCCACATTTAAAGCTTTTCTGATGTTTGCCACCATAATAAGGACAAAGAAGTACGTATGTAAAGGAGACTTATTGCATGTACATTGTGCTCACAGCTACTTTTTGCAGTTTCTCCCCTTTCAAGAATTTCAAATATTTAATAAATCTGTAAAAAAGATTGTTGTACTCTTTACTGTAATGTAATAGAGGCAATGTGTCAACTTTTTTGCCAAGCCCCCCCCCCCCCCTCCATAGAGCCCCTTGCATTTGAACCGACCGTCGTTCAGCATTAGCCAATAGTGTTAGAAAATCGTGCATAGACAGTAGGGCTGAACAATTAATTGCATATAAAAATTGCGATGTGACAAAAGTAGATTTTCTAATCGCAAAGGCTGCGATTTGACTGGCAGCGAGTGGTTAGCACAATGCTAATATACATGGAAAAACTCATAGTGATACTAATGTTAATATAGCTGATTACATTCTTACAAATAACAAATTAAGAATGTGCCAAATAATTACATTTAGAGTCTAATAAAAAGTAAAAACTGCAATCAATCAAATAAGTACAGACAGATATTTTAGTAAAGCTAGAAAACCATGAGACTTTAACTTCAGAGTTTTGACTAGCAGCTATGAACGTATCTGAACTATGGAAGCTCTGCATGGACAAGAGTCAGCAACTCTAAACGCAAAAGACTTCAGTAAATGAGACACAGTTCTTTGCTGCAAATAAATTTTCACAGTTTATGCTAATATCTGTGCTCCTTCAATGCATGTGCTCCAGGCTACAAAGCATTGCACCTTCAAACACAAAAATTGTCTTTACTTGTGTTTATGCATATGTAGACAAATAAACTTGTTGTTATGATATGTAGATAAATATGTAGATACATAAACTTGTTTGTATTCAGCACAAGTTACATAGATTTTATTTGCTTTCATTAGTTGAAAAATATGAGAACAGCTTCTTGAGAAAATAATCGTGAATTAAATCGCAATTGCAATATTGAAGAAAAAATTGCAATTAGATTATTTTCCTAAATTGTTCAGTCCTGATAGACAGATGTCAATCACAGAGCGTGTGCAAGCCTTTGAGGTCATACCTATATATATATATATATATATATATATATATATATATATATATATATATACACACACACACACACACACACATACACACAGGTATATATACTGACTATATATATAATATGAAATGGGAATGGAACTTGATTAATATATTTAATTTAATTAATCACAGGCTTTGTAATGGATTAATCTTGATTAATCACATTTTAATCATTCAAAACAATTTGCCCCCCCAAGCAATTTGATTTAAATCAAAAATATTAGTGAGGCACAGATGACACAGCCACATTTTAGTGAGTATATTTCTGTTACCACAAGGTATATTTGATTACTTTGGTCTCATTATAAAGGTAACCATTGTGGGATTTGTTGGAATGTGTAAATATTAGTACATTTGTTATTGATGAAATGCTAGTGGCCATGGAATATTGTAAATGTTGGTGAACTTAACACTAGGTGGCAGCAGTTCAGGGGAAGTTCTGCTAATGGTTACAAGATGAATGATGAATTTGTCTGTAAATATGGAAGTGGAGAGATTGACTTAAGGTGTAATATATTTGTCAGCCTACAGATGGGACCGTCTGCAAAAAAACTTTGGATTTAAGCTTAAATGATTAATAGTATAGTCAGCTGGCCAAGCTTTTGCTGCAGGTGCTTCAGATTATCTTCCTAAAATGAATGAAGACTAAATGAATGCCATGTGCAGAATTTTAATTGTTGTGCAGGACTTAGATTTTCCCAAAATTTTGACCATTTGTTTGTTGTTAATATTTGTCATTTTAATTTTTATAAATATTTTAAATATTTAATTTCAAGGACTAAATGGAGACAGATGGTTCACTGTGGCGACCCCTGAGGGAAAAAGCTGAAATAAAAGAACACATTTAATTTCCTAGTGGTTTAATGACATCCTGATAGTATCCTGTGTGTTTATTTATTGAAATAGCAAATTTTTTTAATTATAGGCTTTGCTAGGATTTATGCCATTTTCTGCCATATTAAAAGATAACATCAGGACTGTCAGTCAAAGAATAAGGAACCTAATTTTCTGCCTTTTTTACCCAGAGACAAATGCTCCGTCTTGGCATTGATGCTCCCATTAAAGGCCATTTAACCAAAATAGGTGCTTTTTGTTCTCAATTTTTAATGAAACCAATGGAACTCATCACTCTTCTGTTGAACCAAGACAAGAACTCTTTTGACGCTTGCCTCGGTCTCGGGAATTATTCTTCACACCAGCATTTAGCGAACGTTGAAATGTTTTTCTCTGTTGAACATGAGCTAAAACCTGCATCACCACGGTTTCATTATTAATTCATACTGTGGGCTTCAAAACGCTGCAGTCATCTGACATTGTCGTGGTGGCCTAATGTGGTTCGACTGATACATTGCACTGTGTTTCCGCCATTAGATCAAACAATAACATACTCGCTTCCTGGGGTTGATTTTCTTTTAAATCAAAGGCGATTTTTTTGTGTGTGCAGTGGTTTCTTGCCATATGTGTTTAGAATTTAAATGTACACACAAGCACTGACTGTCTTTGTGTTTTCAGGCAGGTCCACCTGAAGGCCCCTTCCATGCTGTTTTAGGTGGACCAGAGCCTGATGTTGACACTGTGGCTGCAACACTGTGCTTAGCACTCCATCTCAGTCAGGTAACCTCAGTTCTGTGCTTTGCTGTAAAATCAAAACATCTTATTGCTTCAAGAGGGTTGTAGTTAAAGCATTTAACATTTAATGGGGCTGAAGTTGCAAGGGAATGCTAAGCCAGGCCATGTTTGGGAGCCGTTGCTTTCAGATTTGAATCTATTTCCTGCACCCGTCAGCAAAATCTGCACCAGAATGGATCTTTGGCACTGAGGCAAAACTTTTGGCTTTAGTGGAGGGTCACCCAGTCTGAAGGGAGCTGTAAAATCAACAGGAAGGGATCTAAAAACTGACAGGAAGCCTTGCACCCTCCCACTTGGAGTTTGGACAGCAGACCAATAACTCACTTTTTTCAATACATTAAAACTTAAAACACATTTTATTTAATTGGTTACTTGTCATCCCATTGGTTCTTCTTTTAATATAAAAATGGAGTCAAGACAGTATTTTTGTAGCAGCCAGCTACTATCAGTATCATGCATTTCATTTACTGATAATCAGCATACTGAATGACCTGTAAAGGCAGTAGTCTGCTGGACTAAGTAAAGACAGTACTAGAAATAAAAACATCTTAAACAGGTGAGTGTTGCTGTAAATCAAATTGGAAATGGTTTGAATCAATTCATCTACTGTAAGAAGGATTTTAAAACGGGACTATTTATTTTATTGCGAGTAACTGAAAGGAAAATGCTTCTTTATGTATAAAATGAAGACCAGACTTGAGTTCCCACTTCTGTTGGGAGAAGGCAAATCTGGCAAAAGCTAAATAAAACACAGTCACAAATGGATCTAACCACCTGTCTAACACGGTGGAGGAGGAATGATGATTTGGTTTTATTTACAGTTATGCATCTTGCAGTCACCCTTGTGTGTGTGTGTGTGTGTGTGTGTGTGTGTGTGTGTGTGTGTGTGTGTGTGTGTGTGTGTGTGTGTGTGTGTGTGTGTGTGTGTGTTTGTGGTTGTGTTGTGTTGTGTTGTGTTGTGTTGTGTTGTGTTGTGTTGTGTTGTGTTGTGTTGTGTTGTGTGTGTGTGTGTGTGTGTGTGTGTGTGTGTGTGTGTGTGTGTGTGTGTGTGTGTGTTGTGTTGTGTTGTGTTGTGTTTGTGTGTGTGTGTGTGTGTGTGTGTGTGTGTGTGTGTGTGTGTGTGTGTGTGTGTGTGTGTGTGTGTATGTGTGTGTGTGTGTGTGTGTGTGTGTGTGTGTGTGTGTGTGTGTTTGTGTTTGTGGTTGTGGTTGTGTTGTGTTGTGTTGTGTTGTGTTGTGTTGTGTTGTGTGTGTGTGTGTTGCTTGTTGCTTGTTGCTTATTATGTTGGGACCAAAAAGAGCCATTTTTGCTCCAGAATGGTCATTTATGTCCCCCAGTGTGTGTTTACCTTCAGTAAGTTGAAAGTTGCAGAATCATTGTTCACATTGTTGCCAACTTAAACATAAACCCATAAACATAAACAACTTGCAGCAAAGGTGCATGCGGCCTGACTTGAAAGAGCTCGCTCACTCATTTTCTAAACTTTCTTGTCCCCAGTACGGTCTCAGGAAGCTGGTACCTACCTCCAGCTGGCATTGGGTGAGAGGCAGGGGACGCCCTGGAATGGTTGTTTGTCCATCACAGGGATACACAGGATGCACAGCAGCTATTTGCTCACACCTAGGGACAATATAGTGTCCAATTAACCTAACATGCATGCTATCAGTCAGCGGGAGGAAATCGGAGCACCTGAAGAGAACCCATACAGGTCTTGGGATATCCTGCTAACTCCACGCAGTCAGGCGACAGCCGGGATTCCAACCTGCAGCTTTCTTGCTGCGAAGCAACAGTGATGCTATGCTGTCTTGCTTGAAGGAGTATAGTTTAAACCAAACTTTAGAGCTGGTCATGGTGACCTCTGTTACATAGTGCTGTATGCCAATGTTAGTCTAGCCCTTGATCATTTATATTATAAAATCAGCGAACAGCAGCGAACATATCCTGAAGGAGAACACATTATTGCAGGGAATTTCAATAAAGCATGCTTGAGAACTGTGCTGCCTAAATTTGTCCAACATGTGAAATGCCCCACGAGAGGAAATAACACCTTGGATCATGTTTACACAAATATCAATTAGGCTTATAAATCCGTCTCTCTCCCCCCACTTGGAAAGTCGGATCATCTCTCTCTGCTCCTCCTACCTGCATACATACCACTGAAAAAAGAACAAGGCCAATTATTAAAACCATTAACACTCTTACTGATGAAGCCATGGCTCAACTGCAGGACTCTTTTGCTCAAACAGAATGGAGCATTTTTGAAAATGAGGATCTTCAAATTTACACAGATGCTGTGCCCTGTTATTTCAAACATTGCATGGACACTGTTATCATTCACAAGCAGGTTCGGATCTACCCCAACTGTAAACCCTGGATGACGAGTAAGGTCAGGGTACTATTAAAGGCACGTAATGCTGCATACGCGTCGGGAGACCAGGCCAAGTACTGACGGGCACGGACTGATCTTAAAAAGGGAATCAAGGAGGCTGTATTGAGCTACACCAACAAGCTGTTGCAACGTCTGGCTGACAGCAACCCAAGGAGGTTCTGGGAAGGACTGAGACACATTACCAAATACAAGGATAGCAGATCTAGCACTGAAATAGGAGCTTCATTAGCTGAGGAACTCAACTATTTCTTTGCTCGTTTCGAGAATACCAGCTTCCCCACAACTAACACCACTCCTATAACATCACCTGCTGAGTTCAGATCAGATACACAAATGCTCACACTTCAAGAACAACAGGTTCGCACCGTGTTCAGGGCTGTTCATCAGAGGAAAGCGGCTGGTCCAGATGGTATTCCTGGCAAGGTGCTGAAGAACTGCGCAGAACAGCTGTCCATGGTATTTACCAAATTATTCAATCGCTCCTTGTCTGAAGCGACGGTTCCATATTGTCTGAAATCAACAACAATAGTCCCACTCCCCAAGTCTACTAAAATCAACAGTCTCAATGATTACAGACCCATGGCACTCACACCGGTGGTGACCAAATGCTTTGAGAAGCCGGTGCAAAAACATATCAAGGACTTCCTCCCACCCAGCATGGATCACTATCAGTTTGCATATAAAGCAAACCGGTCCACTGAGGATGCCATATCTAATGCTCTCCACTCCTCTTTGCAACATCTGGAGAACCCCGGCACCTCCATTAGAATGCTTTTTATTGATTTTAGCTCTGCTTTTAATACCATAATCCCGAACATTCTTGTAGCCAAGTTGATCAATCTGAACCTCCCCCCTACCACCTGTGGCTGGATCAAAGATTTCCTCACCAGTCGCCCACAGGCTGTCAGGTTTGGTGATAGGCGGTCATCCACTCTGATGCTCCGCACTGGTTCACCTCAGGGCTGTGTGCTTAGCCCCCTGCTGTTCACCATCTACACCCATGACTGCATTCCTATGCATCGCTCTAATAAGATCATAAAGTTTGCAGATGACACCACTCTTGTAGGACTTATCCATAACAACGATGACGCAGCATACAGAGATGAGGTTCGCCATTTATCACATGCTGTTTTTAAATGTGCTCTATCAAATAAGTGGAATGGAATGGAAAAATACAGGATTGGAGGCGGAGTGGAGTGGAGCTGATATGGTGGAGTTGGAGTCTGCTTCCAGCACATGTTATAGATCAGGGGTATTAAATTCTGGTCCTTGAGATCCGGTATCCAGCACTTTTTAGTGGTTTCTCTGATTCATCACACTTGATTCACCTGTGCAGCAGATCATTAGGCTCAGCAGAAGCTTGTTAATCACCTGCTGATTGAGATCAGGTGTGCTGAAGCGGAGTTAAAACTAAAACATGCTGGATCCCGGACCTTTAGGCCTGGAATTGAATACCCCTGTTATAGTGAACACAGCTGATATGTTTTATTCATTGATGAACCGCTCCTCTAGAAACTAATAAAGGCTAAGGAGACATTTCAGCAGTTAGATTAATGTGTTAAAAAGACAAATTCATAGCGACGGGATACGTTTTATTTTTGGTTTAACCACAATCAATTCATAATGGACACTAGGGGGTGCTAAATGCAAGCAAAACTGCCTAGTATCCCTTTAAAAAGGGGCTGAAAGGGAAACAAGAACCAAGGTGATTCAATCATCAGTCCACAGACATTGATCCAGTGATTATTTCTCTGCAGAAGTGGGATTTAAAGACTAATAATTCATGAGGTACATGTTGTGTTTTTACTTTTTTATTCTGCATTTTGGTTTTGCTTGTGTTAAACAGTTTTTGTTTTGTTTTTGTCATAGAATTTTTCATTTAGTTTATTTTAAACAAATTTAAAAGCTTCAAAAATTTAAAACCAAATGATTTTCTTCTGTTTTTTTTTTTACTGGAATTTATCTAATAATGTTTGAATGCACGGGACCACCAAATGATTCCTATATCTGGTGTGCATCTCTGATCATTTCAGGAGTCATCAGGAGGAGTGTGTGTGCCAGTGCTGTGCAGAAAGCGATGCGTCGTGCTACCTGAAGAGACCGTGAGGTATCTACAGACGATAAAACTTGATGAGAGTTTGTTGCTCTGGAAGGAGGATCTAGACCTTGTGAAGCTTCATCAGTCTGGAAAGCTGTTGCTCACACTGCTGAGAGATGGACTGCTTGAAAGGTAGCAACAATGCACAAATCAGGCTTGGATGTGTAGAACTTCAGCTAAAGCTGCCATTTTCATCCCCTTCACTGTTGCATCCTCTCCTAGCTCTGAACATCACACTTTAGAGTCCAGCATCCTGCAAGTGGTCCATCATGACGTGCAGCGGAACGAGGCGGATGGCAGGACACTGTCCGTGTTGGCAATGGTCGCCAGAGAGATTCTTCAAGAGGCAGCAGAGCAGAGAAGAACAACGCTGGGGGAGGCTCTGGGAGGTGAGGGAGTCACAAGCGTTGTCCCCCCTCCTAGGGGGAGTAATGGGGCGATGAAGGAGGACACACACAAATCCTCTGACATGACTCGCTTAGCACCCACCAGGAGAGATGAAAGGAAAAAGTGAGATGAGGGGTGAAGAGGGGATGAAACGTTTAGAAAAAAATCAGAAATCCATAATTTAAGTTCTTCTCCTTTTTAAACGGTTTTCTGTAAATCTGTAAGAACTTGAATGATGAAATATATAATGAAAAATGTAAAAGCTAAATTAATTAAATGGGAAGGCTGTTCAGGAAAAGTTGCTCTTGAGGATGCTTACTCGAGAATTCAGATTCATAAAACGTGTGAATCAGCTGTGGAGAAAACAACACAAGTGACTGATCTTCATTCTTCGAGGCTCTGGTGGTTTTCCTCCCCGTCAGCAAAGCATTTATTTACTGTAGGGAGATGTCAAGATTGAGCTCTGTGAGTCGAGCAGAGCGATGAATGGAGCAGGAGATAAATGTGCTGTAAGTGGTCGACTTCTCATATTTCTTTGTGACAGTCCTTTGTGCGATGCATTTTCAGGTTCATTGATTCCTCAACAAGCCAATAGATCAGCTCTGTTTGTAGACCGCATCATCCCTACGCAAAGGCAACGTTACACAGGAGGAGGAGACCTTTTGTGTGCAAGCAATTTACAGTTATTTTTAATAATTCATATTCTTTAGTTCTAATCATTTGACATTTGCATTTGTAATGATTTAAATTACATGTTATTTAATAAGCCATAAGACAAAAGATTCCATAGCAAATATGAAATCAACCTTATGGATCTGTGAGATTATTTTAAACCAGAAGATTGGAACTTTTTAATGCAGGGATTAGATAACAACTTCGTATTCACTCAGAGATAACAGAAGAGAGAGAGTCAAGTTTAAAAGTTTAAAAATGTATTACTAAACAAATTAAACTAGACTAACTTTAACACTAAATGTATGGTGTAACTAAGGTGGATGAGACGGAGAATGGTGTAATGTGGAATGTTGCTCAGAACCAGCAAATCCGAAGAAGCGATTAGTTCTGATGGGAACTGAAGGTGATGTCTTCGCATTAAGCTTTGATTAGGAGATTCATAAACACATTCTACGCCATTTGTCCGTCTACATACCCTTAGCGGAAGTCCCCTTCTAGATCAGGAGGTGTAAAGGTCCAGCTTGACCTTGTGGAGCCGAAGCCTGTAGAAGCAGCCACGGCAGCCGACCACCCGTCTTGAGATACTTCTGGGTCACGACAATTTTGTTGGCGTCTGGTGAGACCCAAACCTGAGTCTTGATGGTTCAGCTTTTATTCTGAAAGGAACCGTTGCAGCAATTGGAACAGCAACAGATTTTATCCAGCTTGTCGTTGGTTCTTTTGGCTGAAGAGGAAAGTTATGGATTCGCCACTCCGACAACTTATCTCGAACGCTTTGAACTGGCGTTAAAGATGGCGTGGGCATAGTTTTATACTTCGGACGTTTTGGTATATGGTCGAATGAAAAGTTGACAGATTTACCAAGCACCACCAAAACCACACCTCCGTCAGATCTGGCAGATTCTGATTGGATCAGTGAAAGCAATGTGTAATGTCTTTTAACGCTACGTGCAAGGATGTAATATTCACTTTAGAAGTGGGGGGGACAGGGGGGGGGGGGGGTCTTTACAGTATGCTCCAATGGGAAACAGGCTTCAACACAAACGGTCGTTTTCCGCTTGGTCCTAGAGCTCAACCAGTGTTAATTTAATATAGCGTAATGTTGTTTTTGGATGGTAAAAAGTGCAGGGGTCAAAATTTGACTTTGGAAAATGTGGGGGGGACATGTCCCCCCTGTCCCCCCCAAAAATTACGTCCATGGCTACGTGAGATCAGTCCTAGTGGAAACATTTAAAGTCATATTACTTATTATATTCTATAGGATTATAATAAAGTAATTAATATTTTGATTTCACAGATCGGTCACTTCTTATTTATTGACTAACACTTTGTTGGATTAGCTTTATTAAAACTAGAGTTCTTCGATTTATTAAAAGGAGAGAGTCCATTCTTCATTCTTCTCTTGAGCTGGAAAGAAAGCAGTTTAGAAGCAAATGCATGAGACCTTGAGGCCATATCTCATGCAGACCAGTTCTGTGTCAGAGGAGAGGGGGGAAATGACTTTTGGTGGAAAACAGTCATTTCATACCGTTACACATTGTTGACTTTACCCGTGCCAAGTGCTTCTTATTGAATTAAATTCAAGCAGTATTTTCGAGCTGATTACTAGAAAGTCAGGCTTGTAAGGCACACACTCATCAGAATGTCGTGCTTATCTTTGAGCTAACAGTGAACTTATTGTGTAAATAAGGGTTCACTTGCTGACTGGATCCCTGTGTGTGTGTGTGTGTGTGTGTGTGTGTGTGTGTGTGTGTGTGTGTGTGTGTGTGTGTGTGTGTGTGTGTGTGTGTGTGTGTGTGTGTGTGTGTGTGTGTGTGTGTGTGTGTGTGTGTGTGTGTGTGTGTGTGTGTGTGTGTGTGTGTGTGTGTGTGTGTGTGTGTGTGTGCGCGTGCGTGTGTGCGCGTGTGTGTGTGTGCGTGCGTGTGCGTGTGTTTCTCTAGAGGCCTTACGACTGCAAAGAGAAGCATTGTGGCTCAAACATGGCTGTCAGTCAGAGGAGCTGGAGGAGCTCATGAGATCCTTGGAGCAGTGGGCCGATGGCGAGTCGACAGAAGTGAGGCAACAAGGTGTGTTTCTGAAAACGCGGAACACTTGGACCGTAGCTTAACGCACATAACATAAGTGAGCAAGTCAGTGTGGCTCGCAGACATTTAGAAATGAGTGGATGTATTCAGAGTGTCTGAATGGAACCCTTGTGGTTCTGCAAAGCCAACAGGAAGTGACAAATATTTGCTCATTTTGAAATCAAAGCCCAAAAACCTGTTTCAGAAAGGTGGAGTTTGGGACGTCAAGGGTCGGAAAATGTGTGCAGGGCTACAGAAAATTGTCAACAGAACAGCAGCATGTCATCTTGACCTCAAAAGATGATTGATTAATCTATTTAAATAAAAAAAATGGCTGCAAACAAGCGCCTGTTCAAATGTTATGTGACATAATGGAGGCGTTTAAAATAACCAGAGACCAAGGGAGGTTCTAGAGGGGCCAGACTTGGTGACTTGGTGAGTATTTACAACAATATAATAACAACCGCATTTCAATTAGTTTCAAAATGATCTAACAAAAAATACATTATCTGAATTATCTCAGTGAAAACACAGAAATATTTGTCTAAGCATCTCTTAACTTTAAAGGTGTGGAACAATGAAAAGCCATTTTTTTAATGATTATTTCTGATATAATCAGTCACTCTGACACTTTCATGCAGGCTGAACATGAAAATAGTCTCCTACACCTATTTCCTGAATTAGCCTCTAATAGAAAATAGACGGTGAAACTCTAGGATTTGAAAAGTCTGACAGATGTCACACTGTCACTTAACATTAATGGACTCAACCATCTTGACTCACGACGGTGAAGGCTGTTGTTGTTTTAGCATCCAGGAAACAGCAGAGAACATCTCAACTAGTAGAAGCTAACCCTTAGCATTAGCAACTCCACCACACAGCAGAAGCTCCTCCAGCCTTCTGTTATTTGTGGCGATAAAACATCCTCGTTGCAAGTCAGTGGTATCCAATCTGAGACTAGATGTCCAAATATCAGGAAGACTCCAAATCCTGCCGTGTTCTGCCACTCTCTGGTGCAGCAGACTTTTTTTTGCCCCAAGTGCGGCTCGCAAGGCATTCATTCCTGCCAGAGAACACTGCAAACTTATTGATTACACAAGTTTCCTGCACCTTCAAGATAAATGTGTTGAATTCATGTTTTGGCTCCACATTTGCATTAGGCTAAAAAAAAAAGCAGGGGGCCATTGGGGGGGGGGGGGGGGGGGGTCCAAGCTTGCACTGGCCCACCCTCGACCACATCTACAACCGCCCCCGTCAGACACCTTTTAAAAATATTTCCGTTAAAACCGGAAAATTTTGTGCCACAGTAAATAAGTCCATTCTGTTAGCTACACTACACCAGAGATTATATCTGGATTATATTTAGTTTGTTCAAGACGTTATTTCTGTGCAAGATGTATAAAACGTAACCCAAAAAGCTTCTCAAAGTAAAAACAAGTGTTGGCTCCATCCTTTAAAGGGATATTCCACTCAAAATAGAAATTTTGTCTGTTCACATATTTTCCTTGAGTGGGATTAGTGGGTAAAAAACAACGTTTTAATTAGCTCGGTCATTCTCCTGCACTCCTTTAGCTTAGCGTAAAACACAGTAAGTGAATGGATGGAACACGATTGCAACGTTCAAGAAGCTTGACTGAATACAACAAAGAAATGAGGACTTTTTTATTTTTTATTTCAGGCAATTTTACATTTTGTGTTGCAAAGATTTCAAAGTCCTTCTAGAAAAACACGTTTTTACACTTTTTTAAAAGAAAATAGTTATTTGGCTGCTTACTTTCAACTTAGTGATTCTGAGTAGCGTATCAAAGTTTCGACGACTCTGAAACCTCCTTTTGGCCAGCTCTCTCTTCCAGAGAGGATATTCATGCTTGTGTTTTTCTCTGTCTGTTGTGAAACTGTTTTGTACCTTTTTGTGTGTGTTTTCATATAACTGTCAGTCTGTTTGTGTGTGCTGGCTGGATGTAGACTTAATGCAGCTGCTGCCGATGGAGCTGAAGGAGTTTTCGGATGGAGAGACGACGATAGCGCTCGCCTCACTGACCGCAGAAAAGAAGGTAGATTTCTTCCTTAGTGCCATCTTTAAAAAAAGCTGATCATTATGCCAAATGTGTAATTATGTTGATATATTTATGTCATCTAACATTTCTTTTTTGAGAAAAAAGACTGAATATTCAAGCTTAGGTCTAAAGCACTAATAAATGAACAGTTTTGCTACTATTTGTAATAAATCATCCTTATTATATTCAGACAAACTTTCATCCACTTTCCCCAGAAGTTTTTAATGATTTGCTGTCTTCTAAAAGATGAATGAAGACTAAGGTAAAAAGTAATCATTTTAGTTTGTGGAGTAACTTTTGATGGCTCTGTTGTGTTGGTCTCACCACACCTGCACCGCGTCCCATTTTGGAGGTGTTTTGCGTTGTGGAGGAGCCCCTCTGAAGTTCTGCATTTGGATGAGATGTAGATGGAGGCCCGACAGCCTCTTGCACAGCCATGCATCACCATCCTCCCCGCTGGCATCCGAAAACTTCAACACGCTCCTTTTTTTTTGTGAAGTGTTTGTGTTGACTTGCGCTGTCACTCGCTTCTTCACATTTGTGGTTTTGTGCACGCACACACACACACACACACAAAAAAACGCAAACTGGGGGTTTAAGCTTTTAAATCTACCCATTGCTTTTTTTTCCCCTCCTCCCGCTGCAACCTCTAATGTCTTCACCCCACACACACACACACACACACACACACACACACACTGAAAACTGAAATAAAAAAATCATTCATTATTTTCTTTTATATTCCCTTCTCAAAGCCCATTTTTCTCAGCGGCTGCCTAGCGTGCGGTATTAGGCTATGTGTAAAATAAATTATGTCTGTAGCCGTAGGGGTATGGCTCTTCCTCCCCCAGAAAACTACCTAACGTCCAAGGAACATTAAACACCCAGATCCTCGTTTAGCGAATAAATAACCATTCATTTGAATGGCCTTGCTCGTGTGTGCGCACCGGACTTTCTGTGCATATTTTACCAGCGCTGTGCCGACATGCTGCGTGTCAGGAGGGAGAGATGGAGATGGAGAGGGAGCGGAGGAGAGAGAGAGAGGGGCCCATTAAAGACTTAATATAGAATAAATGGCCAGGGGCCTGCGTGTCGCCAGCGGACCCCAACTCCACAGCGTCATGGTGGGTTACTAATGACCTGAGATCGGGCTCCAAAATGAACCCCTTATATGCATGTCATTTGCAGTGTGTATATATTTATATATTATTTTTTAATTGTGTTTGAAAAGAGAGTAAAACGGTATGAGAGTCATTTATTGAGGGGCTCAGGGAAGTTCTGCCTTAAATGATTCTTTCCAGAAAACTAAATAAATTAGATTCAATTAGTCTTTAATGGTTTATGTGCTGTGTGTTTCTCAGAGTGTGTTTTGGGGTGTGTGTGTGTGTTTGACAGCAGTTATGGAGGACTTGCAAATTTTGGGGTGGGGGAGAAACGTGGCGGTGATTGCCTAGTTAGCAGAAGAAAAAGATATTTGCGGGTAGGGTAACGATATGGACACATCATATACACTGACTAATGTATTTTTGTTTACTGTACAAACACACATTAGTCAGTCTGGGCGCTGCTCTGTAATGGAAGTGCAAATGAAACACCATTCCTTCCTTTGGAAGCGCTGCGCTTCAGACAGATGCAAATATTTCTGTCATTCCAGCTGAAATTCAGCAAGTTGTCAATATTTTTTGTTTCAGTTTTCAAAAGAACGATTTCCTCGTCTGTCAACACAATAATCAAACGTTGGCAAACCAGTGGATTATGAATTAAAGGTAAGAGCAAGACATCTAAATAAGGAAATGTTCACTTCCCTCTGAAATAGAAATAAACAAGCTCATCCAGGTGGAAGAGAGAAAGTTGATTCTGCTTTGCGTAGCTTAATTTTTTTTTTGCTATAGCCTAAGAATTTTGTTTTTCCAGACAGGAAAAGATTTATGCCAGAGTTTCATCCACTCTGGGGTACCTGTTGCTGAAAATCAAAATACTTCTGATGGTGTTCCAGTTAAGATGTCGAGTCAAAACGGACATTAGGGGGTTTTTGTGGGGACGAATACCAAGAACGTGAGGAGTTTGGACCGTTAAAACAACACCGAACCAGAAAAATGTACAGAAATACTCCGTTTTTATTTACTCCATAATCACTTTGTGTTTGACACGAATGCTTTAGTGCCTCCTGATAAACAGTCGACCGATCTGTTTCATCCTTTTAAAAAATGAACTTACTCTTTAACTCAGAATATCAATTATTTGACACAAATGACACAAAAAGTGCAATATTCACTTGTGCATGCCTGTGAATGTGCGTTTGCGATTTCCACAGCTCAGAAATTAGAGCTGGCAGATGAGGCTGCAGTTGGATGAAGAGTGGTCATGCTGTGGAGTTGATGAACTGTGGGAAGGACAGGAGCCCACAGCCACAAACATGTGCACACAGATCTGTGAACATGTGAATAATGTGTTTTTACTCACGTTAATGTGGACAACTAAGAATCGCAATATGTTCTCAGAGCTTTTTTGTTTTTTTAAGCTTTTTCCACGCATTTTTCTTTGATTTTTCTTTTCTTCAAAGGAATAAAGTTTGTGTTTGGATTTGGCGTCACGCACAAACTCTGGGTTAAGATTCATCATGTCTGTCACACGTAAAGCTTTCTTATTCTAGCTAAAATGCTCATTTTGATTAGAAAGGTATACATGTTAGTGTTTTTGGTTCTTAAACCCTGTTTTAAAGTGCAGTTTTGTAAATTAGTAGCTGTTTTCTGCTCTTGCTTTCTTTAATTTCCTGTGTAACTAAAGCAAGATTACCCCAACAGGATCTGTCTGATATTTTTTGTTAGGAATCATTCAAAAACTAAATAGTGCACACTTATATTATATAAATATGTTAGCTACAATTGATTAGTGAACTTTTAAAAATTAACATTGAAGAAATCCATCATAGTTCATTTAATGACTGTTTTTTATGCATAATGATAAACAACTTTTAAAATCAAATCATTGCTGTTCTACCTAAAATACACCCATAGAGGGTGTAGGAAGCTCAGAAGTTAAATATCTTTTCCAAGGCCACAAAATTTGCCCTTTCTGAACAAGAATCCAATGTCACTCCCCCGTTATTATTTACAATAGTTCAACAATCAATAATACTTGTTTTTTCCACCATTTTTAAACATATTATTGCAGCTTGAGCCTTCAAAGTTTTAGATCTGGTCCTGACCTCAACGGATCAACAAAAACGACCTTCGCGATGTTTCCTGAAGGCAACAGAACCAGAAAATCTGAACTAAAGAGGAGATCATTGGCAAAAACGCCATCGTAAAGGAATCTCCAAGCAGAATCTGAGACAAACAAGAGATCCCATCATGTTTCAGGGTGCTTCGTTTCTGTTTTAACTAACTACATAAATGATCTGTGACGGTGCATGTGTGTCCAAGCTTTGGCTATGTGTTGGCTTTAGATTTGATTTTGGTGACAGTTATTGTTTCTAATGTGTTGTTTGTTCATAGTCCTCCGGCCCTTCTGTTTGTTTATGCAGGGCCAGTTTTGCCCTGCGCCACTTGCACAAATAATTATGCTCGCTAATGAAGGGGCCCGCAGCCACGGCGCTCGGTAAATGCTTTTCTGATGAGAAGCACTGGGAGACAGCAGGTGCAGGGTGGGCCTCCCAGGGACTAAGATTGAAGACCAGGGAGCCAGGGTGCCCCGCCTCTCCGGTTCTCTAGGTCTCTATTACTTCCATGACTTTAACGTCATTCTTGTGCTCCGGGGATTTTGCTTCTTGGATTATAAAGCACTCTTTCTGCTGGAGGTGTGTCAGATAGTCGAACAATTAAACAACTTTATTAGATCATTTTTACTAATATTAAAGTACTGTAACCTGGAATTGTTTTGCTGCTTTTCACCACATTGTAGAAGTTTGTTTGGGTTTTTTGCAGTGTAATAAACCAATGATGAAATCCATTTGGTTTGTTACGACTAACCCCTCCACAGTAGCGCAGTTATCGTTCCTCGCTTTGTTGCAACTGATGCGCCTTCCTCATCTCGCCTAAAGAAAAGAGCATCTTCTCATTCTTCCTCTTCCCCGTTTTCTTTCTCCCCCTGTGGCTTCTTTGGGTTTTGAGGGCAAACACATAACAAAGCAGTTTATACATTTACTGACTCAGTGCTTGGATCTTGGCCCCCAAACTCCTCCACACTTTGAGCCGAGTGAATAAAGCATGTGGAGAGGTCCCATAGAGCAACAGACCGACTTACAGACATTTGGCTTTCTGTCTGCAAACTTTATTGCCTCCCTCCTCTTATCTCTCTCTCCAAAAACTTCGTAAGCAGTAATACTCTTGTTCAAGACTGTGTGTGAGCACAAGTGTGAACAGGAGGTGACTGTGTGTGTATGTTGTGTGCGCGCGTGTGTGGCAAATGGTATATGCTGCACATGTGTGTGCACATTTGCATGCGTGCGTGTTTGAGCAGGGTGGTGTCAGCTCGCTCCTTGCCACCCCATTTACTGTAGCTGTACCGCTGTGATCACAGACAGATGTATAAATCAAACCTCGCTTGATGGATTCATCAGGGTGGCGAAACGATCGCCTGAGAAGAGCTCGCAAGTCTCTTAGCGTTCTGTGTTATGACGGAAAGGGTATGCAAAGAGCCTAAATGGATGAACGCTTGATTAATTCTTTGCCAGAGATGTTGGCGACAGCAGGAAATGTGTTTTTGCTTTGACTGTGTTTGCACGGGAATTTACGCACGCAGGGCGTGAGTTATGAGGCCCGAGTTTTGTACCTAAGGCTATTGTGCATAATGACGGCAGGTTGGGAGAACTGCACGCAGCCGCTAAAGACTTGCCACCTGTGGAGCAAAGGCAACCAATGTGAGAAGGAGGGGAAGTGTGTGTGTGTGTGTGTGTGTGTGTGTGTGTGTGTGTGTGTGTGTGTGTGTGTGTGTGTGTGTGTGTGTGTGTGTGTGTGTGTGTGTGTGTGTGTGTGTGTGTGTGTGTGTGTGTGTGTGTGTGTGTGTGTGTGTGTGTGTGTGTGTGTGTGTGTGTGTGTGTGTGTGTGTGTGTGTGTGTGTGTGTGTGTGTGTGTGTGTGTGTGTGTGTGTGTGTGTTGTGTGTGTGTTGTGTGCATTGGGACCCAGTGTGGGAGAAAGATGAGGCTGCAAACTGCGTGCGCGCAGGAAACGAATGCAAAGTGTGACAGAAAAGCAGGTAGGCAGGTGAAGAAGACATTAAAGGTTTGAGTAAAGGAAATGTAGAAATGTTTATGTTCAAATGAAAACCTTTTGCAACGCCGCACTAAATTCTGCTGTAAAAACAAGGACGTTGCGTTTGAATATCTGATGCCCTTTTCAAAAGCTGCTACAGAAAACTTGTTTCTCTCCTCGTGAATGTTGCAGAGAGTTAGCTTTTCTTGGACGTGTCTCTTGATGAAAGATGCTTCTTTCCAATGAAGTTGAGCACAAATCTCAGCTAAAATCCAAACACTTTCACACCAACAAAGTTGGGGGCGACCCGTAATCGGAAGGTTGCAGGTTCGAGCCCCGCTCAGGCTGTCGCTGTCGTTGTGTCCTTGGGCAAGACACTAACCCACGTTGCCTGCTGGTGGTGGTCGGAGGGACCGGTGGCGCCAGTGCTCGGCAGCCTCGCCTCTGTCAGTGCGCCCCAGGGCAGCTGTGGCTACATCGTAGCTCATCACCATCAGTGTGTGAATGGGTGTGTGAATGGGTGAATGACTGATTGTGTTGTAAAGTGCCTTGAGGGGGGTTCCAGGACTCTAGAAGGCGCTATATCAAATACAGGCCATTTACCATTTAACATTTCCTAATCAAAGCTTTTTCTTTTTTCCACCACACAATGAAGATGTTTCATCAACGTTGCCTCAAAGAAGTGGAAAATAAATGCCAGACATGCAGTTTTGCAACCTAAATCAATCAATTCCAATTTTTTTTCATCAACAATTAAAAAGCCGAACGGTTTGTGTTTCAGTCCGACTGTCGGTTCTCACTCGGCTTATAAGAAAAAGTAAAGTTTAGAAGAAAGCTGCGCCATGTCTTTGCAGAATTTAACAAAAGAGCCACGTGATTTTGTGCACAGATCTTAATGGTCTCAGACAGTTAGCAAGTGGATTTTAAATCTAACATGTTGATAATTTATAAGAAAAGGCAATCTGTGTGTCTGAGGGTGGCAGAGGGAGAAAGAAGAGGGGTGGCAATATGAGTAGTAATTTACTCAGTTAAGAACCAAATGGCAGACAGACTGTCGCGCTGCGTGCTGTCGCAGAGATCCGCACTCTTCTCGTTTTCCAACTACATTCTCCTCTTTGTGTGTGTAGTTTTGTGCACGCACACACACACACACACACACACACACACACACACACAGTTGGGAAGTGGCTTTAAAACACGAGCATCATCCCAACACGTCTGTGTGGAATCTGCTCTAAATGATGGAGGCTTTATTGCCTTAATAGATTTTTTATGCGTACATGTTTGCTCATAAACTTGGATTACAGCAGATAACTGCAGGTGGATTAATCTGTGGAGCGCCATGTGTTGGAGTTGACGTGTGTTTTTTTACTTGTGCGTTTGTGCACGTGTGAGTGAATATGTGTGTTTTATTGAGTGTTGGGAGGCTTCATTGGACTCATCAGGATATCAGTGGTGAGAAATGGTACTGTCACCAAAATACCGTGTGTGTGTGTGTGTGTGTGTGTGTGTGTGTGTGTGTGTGTGTGTGTGTGTGTGTGTGTGTGTGTGTGTTGATGTTCCTGAGTCTGGAAGAAAGGGATGGGGGGGGGGGGGGGATTACAGCCCCCTCATCCTCACAGGTTAATATTGACACAGCCTGGGCAGATACAGTGCCTGAAGCTCTCATCAATCACTTTCAGTAGACCTTCGCGAACACACACTTGTGCTTAAGCATTAAGGAGGACCGCATACACACTTTGTAAGAACACTGCACAACAAGAGATAATTCATGGATTTTATTTAGACACGTTTTGTCCAAAAAGTCCATCTCTGCGGTTAGTTTTACTACCAATCTCTTTTTTTGTTGTTAAAGTTGAACTTAAATACACTCAACAACAATTTTGAAAACTTCCCAAAGCAAACAGTTGTACAGCAAATCTAGATAAATCAAGCAAATATGTTTTCAAAAGTATCACTTTGCACACTTCATGCGTATCCCTGCGTGTCAAATTATGGCTGCAGTAACCCTGTTGTTAATCATTTCAGAGGGTTAGAAAAAAACAAGTTCCCTTGACAAACAAAACAATTAATTAATGCAACTTTCTACCCATCAATCATTGTGCGTGTCACTGAATTACCATAATCTGTGCATGGTGGCTGTTTTAAGAGCAAACAGTTAATTTCCAAACAATAAATCACAAAGTGTCTTTCTACCCCTCTGTGCACTTTGACAGCTTTGTATCTCATTACAACAGATGAACACTCTTGAAAACACTTTTACTAAATTAGAATAAATCATATGTGCAATAAAAAACTAATGTAACTAAAACTTTAAAATGTTTACCTATATTTTTAAGAATATTGTGATTAAAAAGTTATGTTTGTCTTTTCTTCGCATGCAGGACTGGCAGGATTATATGAATGGATTGAAATCTTTTTGTCATCACCACGGTTACGAGGGGCTTGTAGTTCTGTCTGTCAGTGATGAAGTTCATCATCCCCACCAGCAGGTGGCAGTCTACTCAAACAACACAGACATGTTAAACCAGGTAAATTCAGCTCGGACAAGTTTTCCTGAGTAATTGGATTAAAAAAAGTTTTCAACTGAAAAATCTCTTCTTGAATGATTGTAATTGTTCATTATTGGCAATATTTTAGTCTTTAAAAAATAAATTCTTCTCTAGAAAATAAGGTTCCTAAATATGATCTGCTGAGGTAGCTTATCCCATCAGCAGATTTTTTTACTCAAAACAAGAAAATTTGGATCATATTTGAGAATTTTTACCTTATTTTAAGTAATACTAATTTTCAAGAGAAGAATTGTTGTTGGTTTTTTTTTTACTAAAAATAAAATTAAGTGTCCAAAATTAGTCTTTTTTCACTTTCTTAGAAATCACTTTTTGTAGTGTAGTAATAAAGAGTCTATAAGGCAGAAAATGTAAATAAAGTTACTCGTCTTATTACAGATTTGTGCAGCGTTGGAGGAGTCCTCCAGTTGGCCCCTATCTGGTGAACGGCAAGATGCAGAGAGTGTCCAAGTCTACCACATTCCAATAAACACGTTTGCACCCTCTGGTACTCCTCCTCTGCTAGAAGAAGACATCCAGGAACTCCTCAAAAGCTTTGTTGACCGGAGGAGGTCGGTTTTAGCCTGCCACCCCAGCAGCAGGACCTCTTCCACAGAGGGAGTAGCGGGCAGTGTGGAGTTCTCCCAGGGGTCGTCTGGCATCAATGACATGGATGGGTCTGACATGGAGAGAGCCGAGGGAATCAATGAAAATGAAGTGGCAGTAGCGAGGTAGGAAAAAGGGTAAAAAATATCACGAAACTGAGTTGGTTACATGAGATTTTACATAATCAAATTGCTGAGAGTGCTGTTTTATCGGTGTAACCAGGGTGATGGCAGATCGTGAAGACACAGGAGCAGTCGGTGCTGGGGAGCTGTTGAGCCCAGACAGCGGTATGACCACCATTCGCAGCAGTCGTTCCTCCAAAGAGAGCTCTGTGTTCCTGAGTGATGATAGCCCAATTGGGGAGATCATGGCGAGTGGAGGTCTAGCAGCAGGACCAGGAGGACTAAGAAACCCCTCCCCCTTAGGGTTTTCATCTCTATCTCCCCCTGTCCCGCCTGAGAGGAGGAAGCATCGCTCAAGTAGAAATAAAAGTGATAATTTTAATTTGTTTAGCTTTGACCCCCTCCATAGCATTGACCAGCCTCTGCCAGCAGGAGGGGAACTGTTGAGTTCTTTAGGAGGAGGAGATGAAGGTGATAGAAGAGCTGGAAGCTCGAGCTTATCTGAACTTGAAGAGCTAAGCTTGATAGATTTCTCTGCTCCTAACTCATCCAGAGGGCTTGGAAGTGGGAATTCTTCAGTTGATCACCAAGGCCAGATCCACGGAAATGAGATGATGGAGACAATGGTTCCCCCAACTCCTGTGAATAGCCTGGTAGGTAGCCGCCCACCCAGCAGTTGTGGCGTCAGGTTCTTCCCAGAAGATGTAATTGAAAGGATCAGCAGCCTGCAGCACAAAGACAGCGTGTCATCATCCTTGTCAGAGACCTGGGATGAACTTAATTTTGATTCCCAAGGGGCATTGTCCCCTAGAGATGGTGCTTTAGGCAGGCCCAAAAGCTCAGAGAGTATTCAGAAGGTTGAAGATGAAGTTAGTGTGAAAGACTCTGATGTGGCTGAGAAAAATGACACAGAGAAGATGGTTGAAGCAGAAATGGTCCAACAAAGAACAAAGACTTTTGAACCTCAACTTAGTTTTGTTAAAGAACAGACAGAAACATTTGAAAACTGGAGCCCAGACATTTTATTTAAGGATCAGTGGAACTCTGTTTCTATATCTGATCTCCAGTTAACACCACCAGACGAGGAAGTGATTGTACAAAGCAAAAAAGAAAAAGACAGATCCCCCTTTTTGAGAAAAAAGAAAACTATCCTAAACACGCTGACACCAGACACATCTAAAGAAGAGGACGAATGTGTCCAAAGTAAAAAGAGAGACCAGCATTTGGAGCTGTTGGACTTTTGGACGTACTCGGAACAGAAGGGGTTTCTTAAATCGGACAGTGGAACCACCACTTCTTACCCGGAATCACTAGATATGTGGAACACGACGATTCGGGATGACAGTCTGTCACCGCTGACTACCCCTGACAACTTGTCTGAAAACTCTGGTTCGATCTGTGGACTGAATCGCAATCTAAGGAGAGACACATCTGTAGAAAGTCCTCAAGGATACTCTGCCGGTGGAATGGAAATGTGGAACACCACCATCCAAGAAGACAGCTCTTCCATAATGACGACCCCTGAAGGACCTGAAAATGATGAAGACCTCAAATGTGTAGGATCGCTAGATTATTCTGTTGAGACAAAAACTAGCAAACGGACAGAAAAAGACGAGGACTCTGAAGACGATGGTGTCTGTAAAGCACATGACCAGACACGCGAAGATGCTGAGTGGAGTGGTAACGAGCACAACGTGAAAATAGTCATAGAGACGGCAGACGGTGGAACACAGGAGGAAGAAACGGACATTGGAGACATGCAGGGAGCTCAGAGCCCATGTCCTGAGATGTTCCCTCTCCATGGCATGGTCATGTCCACCTCCGAATATGACAACATAGGAGCTGGATCGTGGAGCCAAACACCTTCCCCTGACACCTGTCTGAGCCCAGCAGTAGATGTGATACAGCTGGAGGAGCAGTCTAGCCCTTTTGTAACTGTAGACAAGCCTATCCTTGGTGATGAAAGACCGAATCAGGGCCAGAATGGGTCAGATGCTGAGCAAACAGTAAACGAAGTCTTCATATTTGATAGAGACTTTGTCCACCTGACAAGGAGTGAGGAAAGTCCACTTGAGAGCGAGTATGAAAACACAAGATTGGACAAATTGGAGGAAGATGATTGGATGGAGCAATCCAGTGATCATTCTCCATTTGTTCTGGTCGACACGTCTAAAGTCACTCAGCAGGTTTCAGAAAGTCCAGGAGAATCTACTGAAATCCAAATCCAGGAACACCAAAGCTGTATAGACTGGGACAGTTTATTATCAAAGACGCATTATGACTCAGAATCCGCTCAATCGCTGTATCTACCCCTCAAAATCACTCACAATGAAGATGAGCATGCCATTGAAAGCCATAATTTGAACCCCCAAAAAAGCAAGGACAATGTAGAAGGGCAAAGATCTTTAAACTCTTTCTCGGGTGAAGAAAGAGAGACACTGAACAGCCTTCACACTAGTGGTCACAATAATCCTGAGACTAACTCTGATGAAAATTCATTCTCTGGTTTAGAAATGGAAAACATTGTTGTATCTGGCATAGTCAAAGAAGCTAGCAGAGAGTGGTCTGGTAGGCCCACCCAGGAAAGCAAAATATCCAAAGGAATAAGAAAACCTATGGAGACTTTAAGCATGCTGACGTACGCTGCCACAGTTTTGAAAAGTCATGCACAAGCTACGCAAAAGGATCACCTGGAGAACTTAAATCAGGCTGGTTCGCAACAGATCATGGGAACCGACACTGAATCAGACGTTGCAGCCATTAGCCCTCACTACCAGTCCAGCCATGACATGAACTTGAAGCAAGAAGTGGGTCCAGAAATGACCAGCCCTAGCCAATCGAAAGCCAACTCTGAAGCTTTTCATCCATCCGACGGTCGATCACCTGATGAAGAAAATAATAAATGTGAGTCGAGCACTTTGCCCCGAAGTGTGTCGCCCTCATTAAGGTATCCATCAGATCACTTCCTGAAAACTAGAGAGGAAGTTTATGTCCATTCACAGATCTCAATGGAAGACTCTGATGAAGGTGGGTTGTCACCCTCTGCACCTCCACCCAGCGCTACGTCCTTGGGCGAATTTCATGTCTGGGGGGGTCAGGTAGTAAAACGGGACATATCTGGAACAGAGTCTCCTGTACTTACCAATAGTTCAGTCTCTCACAGCAGCTCTCTGATCAGCTCCCCAGTAAATGATTTAAGCTCTTCTGCTGAAAAAGGACTCGGTTTACCTTTTTCTGGAGATTTAATGGAAGAGGAGCATGATGAGGATGCAGATGTGGACAACACATCGCTTCCGAAACTGACTCCAGGAGAACAAAGAGAAAGAAAAGAAAGGCATGTGTTTGAAACTTCTGACCTGTTGAGTTTTACTGAAGATCTGATTGGAGTTTCCTCATATCAACAAACATTTGAGTCGAACAACGACAGGTTTGAGGACTACTATGACCCACAACCTGTAAGGACAGATGATCATGAACAATGGTCAATTGGGCAGCTAACTGGAGGTCACAAAGCTTCTCAAGATATCTATTCACCTGTTTCAAGGTAAGCAACTACTTAATTGTTTGTTTTTTTTTTGCCTTTATATCTAGTTGTGCAGGAATAAAATGCCCATTGAATGAAAGTGTCGGTCTAAATCAGGGGTGTCAGTTTTTTCCAATGCAAGGGCAAGAATACTCATGGGCCACAAAAGTTTTTTTTATTTATTTGTTTATTTTTTCTAAAATGTAAAAATTATTTTACAAGTATTTTTTATTTGACGTAAATCAGCAAAGTTGATTTTATTGCACCTATCACAGACAAAATTGCTGTAAAGATTCATCCATGAGGGGGTGTGTATAGTAGAAGTATGAGTGTGCCCAAAACAGAACCTTGAGGTACCCCACAAAACAGTAGAATCTGACATGATTTGGTTTATACAGACACTGATGCTTTTGTTAGAAAGGTACGAGCTGAACCAGTCTGGAACAGTTTTACTGCTCAAAATGGCATAAAACTGGCTTATTGTTAAAGCCATACTATGCTAATTTTTCATATTTTTAAATATTTTTTCCTTAGCCAGTATGTACTAAAGGGTTAATGAAGTGTCACTCAGACCCCTACCGCCCTCTGTGGCCAGAATATCGCATTTGCAGCTTCTTGTGGCAAGACCTGTTGGACTAAGAAAAAAAACTGAGCTGACATCTTTTGTACGTTCTTACTGTGTTTGACTTCTAATTCCATTTTTGGTTCTTTGTGAAAACACAGAAAAGGGTTTTCTTTACCTTGAAGACAGTTTCGTTTGCGGCTGCAAACATCCTCAGAGCTGACGCTGATGGTGGCATCACTTCTTACTCCGTTTATCCGCGGGAAGCAGAGGATGTTGTCGCCCTCTGCTGCCCACTCTCCCCTCTCTGATGATGCAGTCCCATGCGCGATCCACTGTGTAGACCCCATCGACTCTCTTCATAGTCCCACATCCACATCTCCTTATCTCTATGGCTTCCTTTATCCATCTTTTGTATTTCTGTTGTTTAGATTAAGGTGTTAAAAAGACAAACACACAGCAAGGAGCTAGGTTTTGCTTTTGCTTTAACGGAACACTAGGGGGTGCTAAAAGTAAGCCAAAACGGCCAAGTGTGCCTTTAAAAATTTTTTAAATGAACAATATCTGTCAATATACATCAACAGCCTGCTGGACTAACAAAATTCCACCATTCAAGTAATGCAAGTTGCAGCCACACAAAATCCCTCTGAGGGCCACAAATGACCCCTGGTCTAGACAAAAACATGCCATCACACACCTGTCACATCTCCACTCATGTTTGTCAAATTATTCACTAAATAGTTTTTTTTTTTTTAGCCTTTCTCTTCTGAGACTGTCAGAAGAACATTATTCTCTCTGATAGAATGAAGCTGGCTGGTTCTCTTTAAGTTGCAGTAGCTCAATAGGTTGAGCGTGTCGTCCAGTAATCGGAAGGTTGCAGGTTCGATCCCGGCTCCGGACAGAGAATTCTGCTGTTGTGTCCTTGGGCAAGACACTTAACCCACCTTGCCTGCTGGTGGTGGTCGGAGGGACCGGTGGCGCCTGTGCTCGGCAGCCTCGCCTCTGTCAGTGCGCCCCAGTACAGCTGTGGCTACATTGTAGCTCATCACCATCGGTGTGTGAATGTGTGTGTGAATGGATGAATGATACACTGTAGTGTAAAGCGCTTTGGAGTCCTTACTCTGAGAGGCGCTATACAAGTGCGGGTCATTTTATCATTTAAGTCAGATTATTGTTTGGATGTTTGAATTAGTGAGACAACAGAATGAATGAGACACTGAACGGGACAGGATTGAGTCTGTATGTGTAACCACAAAATGAACTCTGCGTATGAGAGTATCCGATGTGTGTTTAGTGATGACGATTGATCTGCAGCTCTCTGTGTGCTCTTCTAAACCTTATTAAATATGCATTACCTGCCTCATTACAGCTGGAGTCCCTCCTCAGCTAATGGGAACAGCGTCCCTGGCTTTTCTAACAAGGTGTTGGTGTTAGTGTGCATGTGCAGTTTTGTGAGTGTTTGCATGAGAAAAATGAGCTGCAAAAGATAATAACCACTGCGCAGCCACACAATGATTTCTTTATTATTATTTTTTTTTACATCTTCTTTCAATGCATCTTGACCAGAAAAGGTAAGGAAATATTGATGAAGAAGAAGAAGAAGAAGAAGACGAAGACGAAGACGAAGAAGAAGAAGAAGAATTGCAGTTGGAAGATTTTTGTTGACAGTGACATTTGCTGCAGTGTTGTGTTGCATCATTAGTAGTACTGGAGTTTTTGATCTTGGTTCCTGACATTTGATATGTTACTTTAAAGGTGTGGAACACTGAAAACTCTTTCTGATTATAATCAATCACTTAGTTTTTCATGCAGGCTGAACATGAAAATAGTCTCCTATCTCCTACATGCAATGGGCTGCATGGTGGAGCAGTGGTTAGCACTGTTGCCTCGCAGCACGAAGGTTGCAGGTTCAAAACTCGCCTTTCTGCGTGGAGTTGCGTGTTCTCCCCATGCATGCGTGGGTTTTCTCCGGGTACTCCGGTTTCCCCCACAGATCACAACATGCCCTATAGGTTAAAAAATAATTGTAAGTCGCTTTGGGTAAAAGCGTCTGCTAAGCACATAAACATAAACATAAACATTAGCTTCTGATAGAAAAATAGTTAACGTTCATGGGCTCGCCCATCTTGGCTCGCGACGGGGAAGGCTGCTGTTGTTTTAGTGTCCAGGAAACGACAGAGAACGTCTCGACTAGCAGAAGCTAACGTTACCGTTCACAACTCTGTCACATGGCAGAAGCTCTTCCAGGCTTGTTGTGTTTGTGGAGATGAAACATCCACATTACAGAGCAAACAGAGTTAGTGATAGAGTTGTGGTGCTGTTATCCAATCCAAGGCAAGATGTCCAAATATAAGGAAATATGACTCCAAACCCTGTTGTGTTCTGCCACTCTCTCCTCGTTTGTGTTGATGCCGGTGCTTCTGGACTCCCCCAAGAGTTTTGCTTTTTAATTTGGCTTCTTTTTTTTTTACCACAACATGTCAAAGCCAAGCTCTTATTAATATAAAATAAATGTTTGAATGTTCCAGTTGTATTTACGCTAATCCCAGATTCTTTATTCCCATAACAAAAGACCCCAAGATGTGACATCTCAACTCTCATCTCGTCCAACCAGCGAGAATGCTGCCTACCAGTCGACAGGAAGTCAGAACACAACTCAGGGTCAAACCAAATATGGCTACAACTTCCATCACATCGACCAAAGAACTGAGAACCAGAGTGCTTGCAGAGCCTGCACAGATGCCAAATTAGAAAGTCAGCAGGATGCCACAGAAGTCTACGCTGAGTTCACAACTGATTCTTCAGCTAAGAACTTCAGATCTGAGCAGAGTGAGAACCGTTTTGACGTTGGAGGGAACACCCCTTACTGCCTGGGCGATGCACGTTTAAAGTGTCAGTATGTATCTGAAAGCTCCTACGTGGACGGCTCCATGTGCTCGGCTGATCTCCAGTACTCCCAGCATCAAGTGGGTGCACAAAGTGAATATGATTCAGACCGTATTCACCATCAGAATGAAGGAGAACCATACCACCAATCAGAAGCCCACTGCGACACAAAAGACCATGCACAGTATGTGCCAGAGGGATATGTTCACGTTCTCCTGAACAGGTGAGCTTTTTCACTCAATCATGCTCTGCAACAAAATGAAGTTCTGATTATCAGGGCCTGAATTTTTATAAATTTGTCTGATTAGATGCCAAATTAAGTAAAAATCTGGAGTTAGTATTCATTTAAGTACGTGTGTGATGTGTGCTGTGTTGTCTGCTTCTGCAGCACAGTAATTGTTCCATCAGTAATTGCAGGATTGCGCATGTTTGCCCCACTTTGCAGCCATAAAGACCCGCCTCCTCTTTGGGATCCATGACCCTCCCCTGCTCACCACTTTGTGTGTGTGTGTGTGTGTGTGTGTGTGTGTGTGTGTGTGTGTGTGTGTGTGTGTGTGTGTGTGTGTGTGTGTGTGTGTGTGTGTGTGTGTGTGTGTGTGTGTGTGTGTGTGTGTGTGTGTGTGTGTGTGTGTGTGTGTGTGTGTGTGTGTGTGTGTGTGTGTGTGTGTGTGTGCGCGCGCATGTTTGCATACACACAATAGGTCTTTCCATAATTAACCCGTCATGTGACTTATTGTCGAGAGACGGGTTGGTCTCTCATTTTGGGTGAATTCAGGATGAGGGAAAGGTAGGAGCCCGGAGTATTGTTTAAAAAAAAAAAAGGAAAATAAAAAGTGTGTGTATGAATTTTGTTATCATACACAGTTCAATCTGTACCGCTTTTCTTCTATTGTTTGCCGGCTTCATGCTAATGGCAGTCTGTTGGAGGGGGTTATTTGGGTGGAGGGTGGTAACAACACTGCACTGTATTGTGTCCTCAACCCACATGTGTAGCCTGGGAATGAGGCAGCCAGTTTAGTTTCTCTCCATCTGCTTTGTCACTCATAAATCTTGACGTCTCGATTGGATCTCTAACTTTTTTGACCCTGTGTCATGGGAAAACTTCAGTTTGCTTCCTTTGTAGATAGATGATTGTTTTTGGCTTGTTCGGCCCATTACTATGTGTAGTTGTGCCCCTTGTGGTACTGGTTATAGGAATGATCATTTATGTTGTTGCTCACTATTGTATTTCTGTCCCTTTGAGCAGGAGCTCCCAGCAGGGTGCTGGTGCAGCAGAGGTGATGATGACGATGGCCTCTAGTGAGGAAGCCGCTGAGCCGGATAACAGAGAAGGTAAATAAACAGAGAGAAACTGAGTGAGATTTATTTTTCATTGTGTTTTTAAAACATCTTTTTTTGGATTTTGTTTTGTTTAATGCCATTAAAGTAACTTTAAATAAAATGCAAATTGATGGGTTTTTTATGTAGTTTCTGTCCATTTTTATCATTTAGAGCATTTTTGAACACTAGTGAAGAGACATTTGTTGCTGATAGCTGCAGGTTAAAAAATTTCACACCAGAAAATGACATTTAAATTTCACTCAAGAATACACAAACCTGAACTTTAATACAGAAAATGCTGGATTTGAGAAAATAGCAGAGGTGTGGACTCGAGTCACATAACTTGGACTCAAGTCAGACTCGAGTCATTATTTTAATAACTTCTGACTTGACTTGATAAAATCTATAAAGACTTATAACTTGACTCAGACTCATAGGCGTCATTTTAACCGGGGACGCCGGGGACATGTCCCCGGCAAAATTTGTGATTGGCAGCTGTGTCCCCCCCACTTTCAAAAACGCCTGCTGATGAGGATTTTTGTTTTACCAGCTCAGATCTTATCCAGGGGTCGGCACCCTGTTCCCATCAAAGAACCATTATTACCCGTTTCCCACGGTAATTTTGGACGGACCTTAATAAGCTGTGACTTAAGTGAAGCAGGCAGGTCGCGCTAGAAAATTTCGTTTAAAAAGACGTCATAAATGTGTTCCCCCGTCATTTTTATTACTAAAATATGAAGTAAAAACTCACAATTTAATTTTCATTCATTTGTCATTAATATGTAGTCTACACCCGTGCGTTAAGTGGACCATCTTCCAGTAAACGCACAGCATCCAGTCCACCTCTCCAAATGCGTAAAATGTGCATCAGCCGCTAGTTAGGCGCGCGCACCATCAGCTGATCAGCCCAGACAAGAGCAGAGCGACTAGAGAAAGACTAGAGGATAATTGTGTCTGGATGTGGATGGAGATTACATTTTACATCAGCCTGATCATCATTTAAATACGTAAACCATCACCTGTCTTCTAGTCCACGCTGTCAGCATTATTTTATATTTTAATTGGTGTGTGTGTGTGTGTGTGTGTGTGTGTGTGTGTGTGTGTGTGTGTGTGTGTGTGTGTGTGTGTGTGTGTGTGTGTGTGTGTGTGTGTGTGAGTGAGTGAGTGAGTGAGTGAGTGTGTGTGTGTGTGTTTTCCACTTCAAACACTGGTCTAACCAACCAGACCAGCGTGTCCAGTAACACATTAATGTTACAATTAAACAGTTTCACTTCATGTAGGCTAGGAACATTTCACCTGCCGTGGCCCGACCGCTTCTGCTCCACATAAACTTTGTGATCAAATGTCTCTACGCGTCATGCGGAAGACGGGAACAAGCGCTGTTCAGCCAAAGTTTTCATAATTTCATAAAAAGAACATTTTCCAAGTGACACATCCCTCAGAGAGACCGGGTTTCCATAACGCTTCAGTGGGAGGAAATCATCGCATGCGCGTGGTTCTGCACTGCGCTGCACTGCGAACCCCAGATCTTCAGCTCACTGTCCACCGTGGGCGCTACGAGCCGCGCTGAACACAGTGTCCAGTATAAAGCTCTGATGTTCTGATGGGAATATTTTACCTCCGCGTGTGCGTTAACGATTAAAATGTCAGCTCATCCATGAGCATCCGTGTGCGTCGGGGTAATTTTTTCAAACCAAGCAACATCCTTGAGTACATCTGTCAAAATAAACAGTCAAATGGAAATATATGTAACCTGCCGTTTAACTGTTTTGCCTTCCTGTGAAGATTGTTGCAAAGAGAAACAATTAAACTTGATTAACCCCAGAGCCACGCAGAGAACCATGCAGTGCGCATGCGGGAAGATTCCTCCCACTGAAGCGAGTGTTTTCCAAACCCTGTCTCTCAGAGAGACTTGTCACTTAGAAAATGTTCCCTGATGATGAAACTTTGGCTGAATAGCGCTTGTTCCTGGCTCCAATGTGGCGACACATCCAGGAGCCGTCTGAGGAGAATCCCAGAATCTCACATCCTCTTCAGCTCATAAAGTGCCTATATGATTACGCACAAGCGTGACCGGTCAACCACCGCAGACCGGGTTGGACCTGTTCAGGTTTACGCAGACAATCTTTACATTTAGAATTGGCATACAGGTGTAAAATTAATGCAGTAAAATATAAAGCATTTTATTTAAATATCCATTTATTATTTTACAAGCACAGAGAGCCGCATCAGATGGATGGAAGAGCCGCATGCGGCTCCAGAGCCGCGGATTGCCGACCCCTGTGCTAGCCTACTTTATTGTCCCCAGCAAATTTTAAACCCCACTCAAGTGTATGGTTATTGTCCCCAGCAATTCTGAAAACAAACTGACGCCCTTGCTCAGACTTGAACGCCAATGACTTGCGACTTGAATCGACTTGCACCTGTTGACTTGATGATGACTTTAGCATATTTAATATTTTAGCACAAAAGTGGCACGACATGGACAAAAATCATAAATCATTCTTCATTCTTGGTTTGAGTTACTGCTAGATGCAGCAGCACTTTGTTTAGAATCAGTTTCAGTTGCACTTTCTGCTTGTTTGGGCAAATAAATGAAGCTTTAAGAAGCTTTATCGTTGTCATTAAATTGAAGTTGGACAGATGACTTGATTATGACTTGAAAATTCATAGTTAAGGACTTGGACTTGACTTGGACTTCCACATCATTGACTTTGGACTCGAGTTGGACTTTGTTGTCTTTGACTTGGACTTGACTCGAGACTTGAATAAAAAGACTTGTGACTCACTTGTGACTTGCAAAGCAGTGACTTGGTCTCCTCTGGAAAATAGTTTCTGAAAAATACTTTGTGCAGCTTGTTTCTCTAATTTCCCTCTGGGATTAATAAAGTATTTTTGAATTAGAATTAGAATTGTATATCTTAAATGTGTTTTCAGCTTTCCGTTTCTTCACTTCTGTTTCCTCTGAGTTGTTTCTGTTCCATTTTCTCAGATGTTCGCATGTTTTCTGTTAATTATTTGTTATATTTTTTTTTCAAAGGTGTTTCTGTTTCAGTTTGTTTCTGAGGTGTAGTCGTTTTCCCAAGTCTAGTTCTGTCCCTTCATATAACTTTACATCATTGTGAAAATCATGACAATGACATTCCGGGTAAGAATCCGATCTGAGATTCCCAGCCACCTCCTCCTGCTTTTATATAGCATCATGGTGTTCTGAAGCCAGCCTATGGGTCTCTCACAAAACATGTGTCTTCTCAAAGTCGTCCTTCCAGTTTGGCGTGCCCAAACCTGCATATCTGGAAAACGACTAAAAGGCATACCCAAACCTCCTTACCTGTGACCTTTAGATGCAGAAAGGCTGTAGCTCCTCGCTTATCTCCTATTGGATGACTAACTCAATAACTTTTTAGCAGAAATCCCTTTCAAACATTTGTAGCCACAATTTCATTCTTGTAATCTTATTGAAATTCTAGAGAAACTGCGCCAGAGATGGTGAAAACCCTCCTAATAAAGCTCCTCACCGATAACTAGATGCTTGGAACAATCATAGGGAGCCTAAGTCACGCTTATCTCCTTCCGGATCATGGATCCCCGGAAGAATTAAAAAATGAATGCAAGTCAATGGGGCTATTTTCTAATTCTGCTTGTTATGTGCTACCAGCAGGGTGCTGGTGCAGCAGAGGTAATGTCCGTGAATTTAAAGAAGCATTTTGATACCAAGAGAGTGCTTATTTTCAAACGAGGGGAAACATTATTTTTGGTTTTGTGTGAAAATAAGTCCAGGACTACAAATGCGCTTCACTAAAGTGACGACATCGAACCCGACACGGAGAAAAACAGAGGCAAATGGCTGTAAGTTCAGTGAACTTCAAATCCTTCTTTCAGGAGGAAAGAACCGCCTTAAATCTGGCCATGTGGTAAGTAGCAGCTAAGCTAGGGGAGAGGAGATTCAGTGGTCACGTCATATATGCGATGCACTGATATCTGGTTTGTAGTCCTGCTAATTACGAACTTCTACAAACTAATGAATCTCAAAATAAGTGACTGGCATGGTCGAAACATCCATCATTAGTTTTCATTTAAATAGCAGTACAACGTATCCAGGGCGTAAGGCAAAGCGGACTAGAAAGTAGCTCCCCCATTGACTTGCAGTGATTTTTTTCGTTCTTCCGGGGACCCATGAGCCGACCGGTAAGAGGGACGACTTTTCCAGAATGGTATCACGTTTCGACCTATAGGACTGGCTGTGCTCTACAACAAGATAAATGTTAATACGTCCAACCTGCTTTTGATAACTCTCCACATGATACAACGGATAATTATCACATCTCTTTAAACAGACCCACCCTCTTCAGCAGATACGTCTGCTGGATCTAATCAAAGAAGAAAGCTGGCCGCTCCACCCATGAATGTGTCACTGGAGCACAGCGAAGGCTCCCTTATTTCAGAGGATGCCCTGGACACGGAGGATGATGCCTTGGACACTGGGGATGACCTCGACATTAGTGTTGATGAGATTGACACACCTGATGAGTCTGACTCTCTGGAGTTTCATGTGCAAGGTAAAAACAAAACCCTGGAGGGGCAACGCAACCATGGTGTCTCGTTAAACCTGAGCAGAAGCAGACATACTGAACTGAGCAAACACCAGAAGACAGATATGTAGACCTGTTCTTTATTGTAGTCTGAAATGCTTCTCAGCAGGTTGTGCTGGTTGCACGACACTATCATTCGTCAGAACAGCATTTCCCCTCTAACCTCTACAAGGAAATGTAAAATAAGCACAATAAATTACCTTCTCACGGCACTGCCTTTAAAACAGAAATTAAACTGTCAGTTTTTTTTTTTTTTAGTCTGTAATGGTGCTAAACTCTCTTATGACTAATGACAGTGGAATCAGAAGACCAGGATGCAGGAGCAGCCTCGGGTGGTGCTGCAGCAGGTCATCTAGAAGAAGAAGAAGAAGAAAGAGGAGACACAAGACTATGGAGGAGCGTGGTGATTGGAGAGCAGGAGCATCGAATCGATATGAAATGCATCGAGCCATACAGAAAAGTCATTTCCCATGGAGGTTTGCAAAAAAATATAAAGGCTTTTAACTAAAAAATATTCGCGAGAAAGAACATTTTCTACTAATTTATGGCAGTTTTGGCCTTGTAATCATGTATTGCTCCTATATTTTCAGGCTATTATGCCGAAAGGAATGCCATCATTGTGTTTGCAGCATGTTTCCTGCCGGACAGTGACTGTGAGAATTATAACTATGTCATGGAAAACCTTTTTCTGTAAGTATACATGGACAAATCCCCAAAGCATGCAGGTGAAAGTGTTGCCTTGCAGCTTTCTCACAGATCAGTGACGTCACCGGGCTGCAAGGACACTCTGAACTGGTTTTCTATGATGTTTTGAATGTTATCTTATGATTCATAGAAAAGAACCAACGTGACTTTCTAAGAAAACAGGTTGGACAGTTTGTTTGAGACGACAGTGTTTTTTTTTTCAGTCATCTCTTTGTTGATAGGTATGTAATTAGTACGTTGGAACTGATGGTGGCAGAGGATTACATGATCGTGTACCTGAATGGCGCCACTCCTCGCAGGAGGATGCCTGGTTTTACCTGGATGAAGAGATGCTACCAGATGATTGATAGAAGGTAATGTTCCCCATAAAATACTCATCAGACAGAAGGGATGCTGTGTCCAAATGTGAGTGTTATTGTCTGAATAATTGCTTTAATTGCCTTCAAAGGCAGATGAAAGTTTCAAGACATCTTGAGCCAAGCAAAGATCACCAAGAAAAGGGGAGATTTTCTATTTTTCCTCCCTTTTTAGAGAGCCGGAGGCTCATCTTGGAAGCATTTGTCTGACTCACTGCAAAAATGTTTCACGTTATAGTCTTGTGAGCTTTATATGAGTTTTTCAAAAGGCTCCTATTTGAATTCCTGACACACCCACAGGAGTTTTTTTCATAATCCTTATTTTTATGTGGTTATTCAGGTTTCACTACTTTAAACCACACAAAATTATCTCTGAAATTTCACTTTGGAAGCAAGTTTCCTGAAAAGGCTGTTTATAACAATAATGTAGACCATTTATGGCTGTTCCTTCTGTGTATTTACTCCTGCTTTAGTTTTATCTCTGGTAACGAACTGACTAGCCCCACTTGTCTTTTATATTGTCCTGCAGACTAAAGAAAAACCTGAAGATGTTCTTCATTGTTCATCCTTCCTGGTTTGTTCGGACTTTGCTGGGAATCACCAGGCCCTTTATCAGGTGGCACTTTTTTAGTTGTACGTTTAAACAACTGATGAAAGAAATCATCTCGGTCAGAACATGAACAGCTTCATTATGAGCTGCTAAGTAAATGAATAGATATTGAAAACAATACAAGCCTAATCATCTTTATAGGTAGGTGAGAATTTATCATAGAAATGATGTCAAAACAGTCTAATGTCCCAATTATGGTGGAATGAAGGTTGCATTGAAACAGATTTCCTTCTAAATCTCAGTGTGTGAGACTAATAAGACTTTGGCTTTTCTAATCTGGCTGGGGATTGCTATAGTTTTTTTTTTTTCCTTTCAAAATGGCCAAAGAGGGACATGGACTTTGTTTACAAGCCACAAGCCTGCAGAGTTGCTAAGTCTGCACCAAGCTAATGCTGCAGTGCCGACATTTGTAATTCAACACCGGCCAGCAAAATTATAAAAATTCGGGATGCTCCGATCCGATCATGTGATCAGAAATCGGGCCCAATCACATATTTTTCAAAAGATCAGAAATCAGTTTGGATTTAACCTTTTTAAAACAACAAATGTGACTTTTTAAATTCATCCTGAGATAGATTTCAAACAGAACAACAATGCTAGTTTTAATTTCAACAGGCTCCTCTACATCAGTATTCTTTGTTTCTTGGAAGAAAACAACAGTATTAACTCACACAATCAGTCATCAGGATCCGCCAAGACTTGTTCCATTGTTCATGTTCTACCGAGGCATGTGTTCTCCATTTGTTAGCCGTTTAGCTAGCTGACCAAGAATACCTGGGAGGTGCCTTTTAGCCTAGCCTTGGTCAAAAACCTGCAGTAACCAAATTTGACCACTGGATTTTGCTTACGTCATTCTTACACAATGTATCTTTAAATGTATCCCATAATTATACATTATATATGGTTTTGTGTTCCACAGCTCCAAATTCAGCAGTAAGATCAAGTATGTGAACAGCCTGAGGGAGCTTGGAGAGTTAATTCCTATGGAGTACGTCCACATTCCACCCAGCATCATAAAGTGAGTCTGCGCCTCTCTCTCCATTCCGTGTTAACATGTTAAAAATATTTTATCTTATCAAACAGGAAACTGCACTGTAGTTTCATGTGAACACTATAGTTCCTATCTATAGGATTTTTAACAATAGGGAAGTTTTGCCAAACCCAGCTGTTTTATAAATGTTAAAACACAAATGTGGCAGTGTGAGCGTCCTGTCACAGTGTCCCGATTGGTCATGCGCCCTGGCTACTTGGCCAAGGGGATGTCCCTTTGGCTGACTGGTTAGCGTGCATGACTCTCACCTGGGAGTCTGGGGATCGAATCCCACCCGGGCCCTCGTTTCTCCACCTTGCCACATTTGGCATTGTCGGCAGGATCCATGTAGTACTGTCAAGTAGGTCCATGGATGTGAAGTTTGTGGCACCCTGCGCGGGAGCACGAGGACGTGCTTGTGGAAAGAGGGGGCAAGATGTGGCAGTGTGAGCGTCCTGTCACAGTGTCCCGATTGATCATGCGCCCTGGCTACTTGGCCAAGGGGATGTCCCTTTTGGCTGACTGGTTAGAGCGTATGACTCTCACCCGGGAGTCTGGGGATGGAATCCCGCCCGGGCCCTCGTTTTTCCACCTTGCCACACAACCATTAATCTGTCCTGTCACCATAGCCTGATTCATCCTTTCTTTCATCTTACTGCACTTGCAGCACCTTCAGAGTTTAATCTGAGACATTAAAGAGTGTAGATAATGATAGATGCTGGGTTTTTTGCACTTATTCCAGAGAGAAACTCCTAGTAAACTGTGGAAAAATTGTATTCCAAGTGAAATTGGTGTATTTATTTATATATTTTTTTACTCTTGTCCCAAGGTATGACAAAAAGAGGGGTTTATAAAAGTTTACATGCATGAGGTAAATCTACTAACCAGCTTGTTTTTATCAGTGAGTTTTGTAAAACCAAACTAAAACAATCACTAAACATCACTTAGAATTCTCTCATCTTCAGACTAACGTTTCACTGACTTGTTGCCGTCTTCTTATCCCAAAAAATATTAACTAGTAGGAATGTGTATTGGTGAAATTCTGGCGATACAATACGTATCACGACACAGGGGAGACGATAAGATATGTATCACGATATCAGCGCCGATATCAGTGATTTTTTTAGACTGAAATTATTGTAGGAAAAATCAATAAACTGTCCAAACTGAAACGTAATATGTTTAACATGAGGTATCTGAACCCTAATAGAGGCATTTACATTTCAGTGGTGGAAATAAAACCCATTACACACTGCTGCCAACTAGCGGTTGGCGTTTGAATTACACCAGAATAAAAGAAAATACACAAATGTTTGCATGTAAATTCTTCAAAAAATTGGCTTTTGAACATCGATGGAATACCGCAGGAAAATATATCGCAGTCTATTGCCATATCGATATCTTACATCCCTACAAACTAGTATCAGTATTTTCCTATTGCTCTTTGCCTGTAACGTGGCATTCATCTTGTGTCAATAATTTATTATACATACCGTATCTGAAGCTACATCCGATCTTCTGTGGGAGTTTAATCTAATTCCTACTGGAACAAATTTGAGACAGATTTAAATTTCATGGAGTTTCTATTGACTTGTATTAAAATGTTGCCTCTTTGCAGAGAGTATAATCGGCTTTATTGCAACTTCTCTACTCTAGAAACAGTGGAGTAGCAGAAAAAGGTTAAATATTTGTAATTTTTAAACTCTGTGTGTGTGTGTGTGTGTGTGTGTGTGTGTGTGTGTGTGTGTGTGTGTGTGTGTGTGTGTGTGTGTGTGTGTGTGTGTGTGTGTGTGTGTGTGTGTGTGTGCGTGCGTGAGGTAAGACCAACCTTTCCCCACAGGTATTTTCATCGTATATATTAATAAATTCATAAACCAAGTTGCACCTCACTGCTCATTCTAAATCTACCTACTTGTTATTGCAAACTCAACAGATAATTTCCCAACCCCGTGCCACAGTAAGGAGGATTTTTATTATTTTCATGTGAAACTACTATCATAAAGGAAATATTGAGTCAAAAATCTAAGACAGTAACCTCCACTGCTTTAGAACAGACTCATATAACCACCACCATGAAGCACAGGTGCTTTTTTTCATTCTCCTTATACAAAAGTGGTAAACAAGCCATGAACCCTGATCATTTGCATGTGTACTGACACACTCGCCCTATTTCCTCTTGACCCTCCTCTAACTAATTGTTCTTCTCCCTCTAAATTAATGCTAAAACAGACTGGATATAGAATTGCAGAACACATCAGCTAAGTAAGTATAAAGCCATTATTTAGTTAGTGATTTATTTGTCATTAAATTTATTTATATTTCAACAACTGTTGATACATGTAATCATCCAGCAACAGGAAAAAAAACTGCATGTCAAATTTTATAATACTAAACAGTTAAGTGCTTCCTTATGGGTATTTTTTTTTGGTCACATCTAAATGTTTCGAATCAGTAAATAAATTGTAAGATAACCAGAGATTGGGTTTGGAAAGCACGTATTTTGGGACGTAGGCAGTTCTGTGGGCGAAAATGCCTTGTTGATGCTAGAGGTCAAGGAGAATGGCCAGACTGGTTTGAGCTGATAGTAAGGCAACAGTAACTCTAAATAACCACTCGTTACAACCAAGGTAAATGGCCTGTATTTGATATAGCGCCTTCTAGAGTCCTGGAACCCCCCAAGGCGCTTTACAACACAACCAGTCATTCACCCATTCACACACACATTCACACACTGGTGGGGATGAGCTACAATGTAGCCACAGCTGCCCTGGGGCGCACTGACAGAGGCGAGGCTGCCTAGCACTGGCACCACCGGTCCCTCCGACCACCTCCAGCAGGCAATGTGGGTTAAGTGTCTTGCCCAAGGACACAACGACAGCGACAGACTGAACTGGGCTCGAACCTGCAACCTTCCGATTACGGGGCGAGCACTTAACTCCTGTGCCACCGTCGCCCCCAAGGTATGCAGAAGATTATCTCTGAACGCACAACACGCCAAACCTTGAGGAAGATGGGCTACAGCAGCACAAGACCACAATGGGTGCTACTCCTAAGAACGGGAAACTGAGGCTAAAATTTGCACAGGCTCACCAAAATTGGACAATAGAAGATTGGAAAAGTGTTTCCTGGTCTGACAAGTCTTGATTTCTGCTGCGACATTCGGATGGTAGGGTCAGAATTTGGCATCGACAATATGAAAGCATGGATCCATCCTGCCTTGTATCAATAGTTCAGGCTGGTGGTGTAATGGTGTGGGGGACATTTTTTTGGCACACTTTGGACCCCTTAGACCTCCGTGTACCCATCTTTTGATGCTATACTTCCAGCAGGATAATGCATCATGTCATAAAGCTCGAATCATCTCAGACTAGTTTCTTGAACGTGAGCATGAGTTCACTGCACTCAGATAGCCTCCACAGTCACCAGATCTCCATCCAATAGTGCACCTTTGGGATGTGGTGGAACGGGAGATGCACATCATGGATGTGCAGTCATCAAACCTGCAGCAACGGGGGTGATGCTATCATGTCAATATGAAATAAAATTTCTGAGGAATGTTTCCAGTACCTCGTTGAATCTATGCCACGAAGAATTAAGGCAGTTCTGAAGGCAAAAGAGTCCAACCCAGTACTAGCAAGGTGTACCCAATAAAGTAGCCTGTAAATGTATATTTAAATATTATCACGAGCTGTGAGTGGCTGGATTCATTCTTTTAAAGGCAATAGTTTAACTGAGGAGCACAAAAGAAACGGTGTGATCAGCATCTGCTATTCATTCAATATTTACATGTTTTCTAGAAATACTGCGTACAAATCACTCATTCCAACAAAGTGCCTTTAGAAGTGAGCCACCCTTACTTTATCTTTGCACACCTTTTACACAAACAGTTAAAGTTAAAGTCCCATCAGTTGTCACACACACTGATGTGTGCGTGACACGTATTCTCCGCATCTGACCCATCCCCTGGGGGAGCGGTGAGCTGCAGACACTGCCGCACTCAGGAACCATTTGGTGGTTTAACCCCCCAATCCAACCCCTTAATGCTGAGTGTCAAGCAGGGAGTCTTTGGTATGACCCGACCAGGAATTGAACCATGATCTCCCAGTCTCAGGGCAGACACTCTACCACTATGCCACTGAGCTGGCATGTAATATCACTACTCTGTTTTTTAAAGACCTTGCTTTAGATTTGGTCCAATTTTTTCTTAGTTTTGTAATTCAAGATCAATCAAGAATCACCCTACCTTAGTCATTTAAAAGTTGTCATTTATACATACCAATGATGTGTATGCGTGCTTGCTTCCATGTGAATCTAACACTCCCAACAACTAATAAACTTTTAAGACACTTGCATGCTATTGAAAATGAAGAATTTAGAAACACTGAGAGATTAATTCCAAGATAAAAGCAGCGTGTAACTTACTTTATAACCTCTCTGATAGAGAGCTAATAAAACAAATGGCAGTACAGTAAAAAAAATTTAAATGTACGTTTTAAAATAATGTTCTATTCATTTTACTTTTCCCCTCTTTGTAAAGAACACTTTCTTCCGCATCAGAAAGCGTCGTCAGGGTGATTTGTTTTTGTAAATAGTGAAACGGGTTTAAACAGTGAACTTGTTCTGGGAATGGAATATGAACAGAAACCCACAGATCAAATGCAAATGAGACACTGCAGCAAACCGAAACACGTTGTTTTGTTGCACTGCTTCTTTAGCTATCAAATTTTTGTCTCTGTCACAGAAAATGTACGCATTGGCCGTTTTCTGTTTCCTCTAAATATTTCTAAAGTGGGATAAAAAAGAATCTGGCAGCCACCGACCGTGCAAGCTCTCCCACGTCTGTAATCATCAGGTACACTTCAACTGTAAGAGACATAACGTTAAAAAATTCTGAAAATCACATTGTAGGATTTTTTTTTTTTTTGTATATAGATAAAAGGTTTCCTCAGTACTTTGTCAATGCCAACCAATTGCCAGCAGAGGTCAAACATTTCTTGTAGCTCATCACCAGGTTTGCACACGCTGTAGCTGGCGTTTTAACCCATTCTTCCATGCAGATCTTCTCTAGAGCTGTGATGTTTTGCGGCTGTTGCTGTTGGGGATTCTCTATTGGTCTGAGTTCTAACTAGGCCACTCCAGAACCATGAAATACATTTTACGTAGCCACTTCTATGCCTGGACAGTGTGTTTGAGATTATTGCCATGCTGGAAGATCCAGCCACATTTCACCTTTATTGATGAAAGGCTCACGATCAAGTGGGGTTCCGAAAAAACATGATGGTCGTGAAACCAAGAACATCTAACAACATCTAAGATCTAAGAAAAGTCCTCGCCATCCTGTTTATTCTTAGCTGACTGCAGGATTAGGGCAAGCCACTGTAGCATGTAATTCACAAGCGCGTCTACTGTATCAGTGAACATACTTTAAACTGGATTACTGCCAAACCGTACATAATAAATACGTCACCATTAAACTTTTAGCAGTATAAATTAAATGTTATTAACATTTCCAGTATCTTACTTAACATGTTAATGAAATACATACAATTTTACTGATTATAGTTTAATTATGGATATATTTAGATGATAGCGTGTTGTTTTGCACGCTATTGAACTGTTTTCTAGTCATACTTTCTTGTTAAAGTAAAAGAGAACGAGTTAAAATTGGTGCCATTAATACAAGTGGAAGATAGAAGAGTTTCTTTTTAAATACTGTATTTTCTGCACCATCAATCAGATTTATTTATAAAGCACTTTTCAAACAAAGTGCTACTCAGAGTGCTTTACAAAATGACCCCAGATTCCCATAACAGGTTAAAAACATTAACAGACATATGCAAGCACACACACACACACACACACACACAAGTAAAAATTATATTTGGCTGAGTCCAGATGAGCCAAGTAAGGTAAGGCAAGGAAACGCCATCAGAGGAGCCGTGATGTGATTTCCTGGATTTTTTCCCATTCAGTCTCTTACAGTTGAAGTTTATTTTTGATCAAAATTACACACCTGAACTGGGACAACTTGGACAATCAATGGCTGCCAAATACTATTTTGCCCTACTGTAGATCCATTTTAGGAAACTGTATTTCATCATAAATGTTTCTTTTTCATCTCTTCTCTTCAGAGTGGATAAGGGGAGTTCTTCCTTTTAAGAAGAGGAAACACCTGGATGCTGCCTATTTTCTCCCTGTATTTTGCTGCACACTCCCACAGCATGTCTGAACATGAAAGCTGACAGCATGATGCTTATGGTAACATGGTTGTTACGAAGCAACTAGAAGTAAAACGGAAATGAAGATGCTGCATCTGAGGGTACTTAAAAACATAGTTCAGTAATTTTGTATTTGAATTGCAGAGACGGTCACTGTGCTGAAGGGAAGACATTCTGTACTGTTTAAAAGTTATACTCCCACATTTATTTATATTTATCAGGTAGTTTTTGTTCACTTTGTTCATGAAATTCTATACATTTAGTATTTTCCATTTTCCAGTTATACTGCCTTACTATGTTTATGTATTAATATTTATTAATATTTATCAATGTGCATTTTCTAAAGTGACACTTAAAATTATTACTAATACACTCAAAAGTTGTTACATCTCATCGGCTTGCACAAAGATTAAATTCTTCCTGGGTAATGGAGATGTTGTGCTTTAGTAAAATACTTAGAATATGTTAGTATAAAGTTATGAAGCTCTGTTTAGGCTGAAATCTGAGTTGACCAAATGACAAAACATATGATTCCATTAAAATATTGTTTTCTAATGGGCAAAGCCACAGATGTTTACTAGCATGATACTGAAAGTACATATTAGTTTATCAAGATGAAACTGGTTCCTGTTAATGGGAGTTTTATTTTTGTTGTGTTATGTAACTCAGCACTATATTTGATCATGCTGTTCTGGTGTCACCATGAAGTTATTCCAACTTCAAATGAAGTAGCAAAAACATTTAAAAAGTCCTCTATATTTGAGTAAATATTTAAAAATGAGTATAAATTCATCCTGTTCAGCTTTCCAAAGGTGTTGCATGTTTTCAGCATTTACAGTTAAACACATTCTTTTAATCAGACCAACCAGAAAGAAACGTTATGATGAGTGAGTGCACGCGTGCAAGTACATACACAAAGGTGAAGATGAAGATGGGGATTACTTGAGTGAAATACTTTATTAAGAAAAAGTTGGATGAGCCATGTCTGTTTGTCATTTTTGTACATGACTTGAATTAATTTGTTGGAAAATACATACATTTGTTTACATCATTAAATGTCTCTTCCTCTCACACTGTCTTTTTTTCTGTATATTTTATTTACAAGTGAAACTCAAAAAATTATAACGTATGGGGCTGAAGTTCATTTATGTCAGTAATTCAACTTAGACTGAGAGACCATCTACAGGTGCTGGTCATAAAATTTGAACATCATGACAAAGTTGATTTGTTTCAGTAATTTTCTTCAAAAAATTAAATGTGTATATTAGATTCATTCATTACACTCCGATATATTTCAAATGTTTATTTCTTAGATACTAGGTGAGGGATCAGACAAAGAGCAGCCCGAAGACCTCATATGATGAATTATATAAATGGAAACCTCGCCCGGACGTGGGTCACCGGGGTCCCCCTCTGGAACCAGGCCTGGAGGTGGGGCACGTTGGCGAGCGCCTGGTGGCCGGGCTTTCACCCATGGAGCCCGGCCGGGCACAGACTGAGGAGGAAACATGGGTCCCCGTTCCCATGGGCTCACCACTCGTGGGAGGGGCCAAAGGGGTCCGGTGCAGTGTGTGACGGGTGATAGTTGAGGGCGGGGACCTTGGCGGCCTGATCCTCGGCTACAGAAGCTGGCTCTTGGCACATGGAATGTCACCTCTCTGGTGGGGAAGGAGCCTGAGTTGGTGTGTGAGGTTGAGAGGTTCCAACTAGATTTAGTCGGACTCACCTCAGAGCATGGCTCTGGCTCTGGAACCAGTTTCCTTGAGAGAGGTTGGACTTTCTACCACTCTGGAGTTGCTCCCACTGAGAGGCGCCGAGCAGGGGTGGGCATACTAGTTGCCCCCCATCTTGGTGCCTATACGTTGGGGTTCACCACAGTGAATGAGAGGGTAGCCTCCCTCCGCCTACGTGTGTGTGTGTGTGTGGGGGGGGGGACAGGTTCTGACTGTGGTCTGTGCTTATGCACCAAACTACAGTTCAGACTACCCACCCTTTTTGGAGACCTTGGAGGGGGTGCTGGAAAGCGCTCCTTCCGGTGAATCCCTCGTTCTGCTGGGGGACTTTAACGCTCACGTGGGCAATGACAGTGAGACCTGGAGAGGTGTGGTTGGGAGGAACGGCCCCCCTGATCTGAATTTGAGTGGTGTTTTGATATTGGACTTCTGTGCCAGTCATGGATTGTCCATAATGAACACCATGTACAGACATAAAGGTGTCCATACGTGCTCTTAGCACAAGGATACCTTAGGCCGCAGCTTGATGATCGACTTTGTTGTTGTTTCATCTGATCTGCGGCCGCATGTCTTGGACACTCGGGTGAAGAGAGGGGCGGAGCTGTCAACTGACCACTACCTGGTGGGGAGTTGGCTCAGATGGTGGGGGAGGATGTCGGTCAGACCAGGCAAGCCCAAACGTATCGTGAGGGTCTGCTGGGAAGGTCTGGCAGAGTGTCCTGTCAGAAGGAGCTTCAATTCCCACCTCCGACAGAACTTCCAAAATGTTCCGGGGGAGGCGGGGGACATTGAGTCTGAATGGACCCTGTTCCGTGCCTCCATTGTTGAGGCGGCCGACCGGAGCTGTGGTCGCAGGATCATCGGTGCCTGTCGTGGTGGCAACCCCCAAACCCGCTGGTGGACACCTGCGGTTAGGGATGCTGTCAAGCTGAAGAAAGAGTCCTATCAGGTCTTTTTGGCCTGTGGGACTCCAGAGGCAGCTGACAGGTACTGGCAGTCCAAGTGGAACGCGGCTCGGGTGGTCGCCAAGGCAAAAACCCGGGCATAGGAGGAGTTCGGTGAGACCATGGAGCAAGACATCTGTACGGCTTTGAGGAGATTCTGGTCCACCATCCGGTGACTCGGGGGGGGGGGGGGGGGGGGGGGGGGGAAAGCAGTGTGCTACCAACACTATCTATAGTGGGGATGGTGTGCTGCTGACCTCTACTTCAGGACGTTGTGGATCGGTCGGCAGAATACTTCGAAGACCTCCTCAATCCCACCGACACGTCTTCCAATGAGGAAGCAGAGTCTGGGGACTTTGGGTTGGCCTCTCAAATCTCTGGTGCTGAGGTCACTGAGGTGGTTAAAAAGCTCCTCTGTGGCAAGGCTCCAGGGGTGGATGAGATCTGCCTGGAGTTCCTTAAGGCTCTGGATGTTGTGGGGCTGTGTTTGCTGACGCGGCTCTGCAATATTGCATGGACATCGGGGCAGTCCCACTGGACTGGCAGACCGGGGTGGTGGTCCCTTTATTTAAAAAGGGGGACCGCAGGGTGTATTCCAACTACAAGGGGATCACACTCCTGAGCCTTCCTGGTAAGGTCTATTCAGGGCTTCTGGAGAGGAGTGTCCGTCGGATTGTTGAACCTCAGATTCAGGAGGAGCAATGTGGTTTTCGTCCTGGCTGTGGAACACTGGACCAGCTCTATACCCTTAGGGGGATCCTGGAGGGTGCATGGGAATTTGCCCAACCAGTCTACATGTGTTTTGTGGATTTGGAGAAGGCGTTTGACTGCATCCCTCGGGGGGCCCTGTGGGGAGTACTCCAGGAGTATGTGGTACCAGGCCCTCTGATATGGGCTGTTAGGTCCCTGTATGACCAGTGTCAGAGCTTGGTCCGCATTGCCGGCAGTAAGTCGGGCTCGTTCCCAGTGAGAGTTGGACTCCGCCAAGGCTGCCCTTTTTCACCTATTCTGTTCATAACCTTTATGGACAGGATTTCTAGGCGCAGTCAAGGTGTGGAGGGCATCCGTTTTGGTGGCCTGAGGATCAGGTCTCTGCTTTTTGCAGATGATGTGGTCCTGTTGGCTTCATCAGAACGTGATCTTCAGCTTTCGCTGGAGCGGTTCGCAGCCGAGTGTGAAGCAGCTGGGATGAGATCCGCTCCTCTAAATCTGAGATCATGGTCTCGATTTGGAAAAGGGTAGAATGCCTTCTCTGGGTCAGGGATGAGGTCCTGCCCCAAGTGGAGGAGTTTAAGTATCTCGGGGTCTTGTTCACGAGTGAGGGAAAACTGGAGCGCAAGATTGATAGGCGGATTGGTGCTGCATCTGCAGTGATGCGGGCGTTGTACCGGCCTGTCGTGGTGAAGAGAGAGCTGAGTCAGAAGGCGAAGCTCTCGATTTACCGGTCGATCTACGTTCCTACCCTCACCTATGGTCATGAGCTTTGGATAGTGACCGAAAGAACGAGATCGTGGATACAAGCGGCCGAAATGAGTTTTCTCCAAAGAGTGGCTGGGCTCTCCCTTAGAGATAGGGTGAGAAGCTTGGTCTTCGGGAGGGGCTCGGAGTAGACCCGCTTCTCCTCCACAACGAGAGGAACCAGTTGAGATGGCTTGGGCATCTGGTCAGGATGCCTCCTGGACGCCTCTCTGGTGAGGTTTTCTGGGCACTTCTAACAGGGAGGAGACCTAAACGTAGACCCAGGACATGGTGGACGGACTACGTCTCTCACCTGGCCAGTGAACGCCTTGGGATTTCCCCAGAGGAGCTGGCCCAAGTGGCTGGGGAGAGGGAAGTCTGGGCCTCTCGCCTTAGGCTACTGCCCCCACGACCCGACTCCGGATAAGCAAATGAAAATGGATGGATGGATGTTTATTTCTTTAATTTTGATGATTATAACTGACAACTGATGACAATCCCAAATTCAGAATGTTAAAATGTTGTGAAAAGTTTCAACATTGAAGACCCCTGGTGCCACACTAATCAGCTAATTAACACAAAACACCTGAAAATGCCTTTAAATTGTATCTCAGTCTAGTTATGCTACACAATTATGTGGAAGACTGCTGACTTGGCAGTTGTCTAAAAGATGACTATTGACACCTTGCACAATAAGGGCAAGATGCAAAAGGTCATTGCTAAAGAGGCTGGCTGTTCAAAGAGTGAACTGCAGTTAGTAATTTCTTCAAGAACCACCATGCATTGACGTGTGCATTTAGCATTTCTTTTGGAAATCAAGGCCCCAAAGTTTGGAAGAAGAAAGGAGAGGCACAAAATCCACGTTGTTTGAGGTCCAGTGTAAAGTCTCCACAGTCAGTGATGGTTTGGGGTGCCATGTCATCTGCTGATGTTGGTCCATTGTAATCGCTGAGGTCCAAGGTTAATTCAGCCATCGACCAGGACGTTTTAGAGCACTTAGTGCTTCCTGCAGCTGACCACTTAATGGAGAGGCAGATTTCCTTTTCCAACAGGACTTAGCTTTAGCAGGTGTGTGCAGGACAGGTGCCATCAGTACCTGGTTCAAGGACCATGGTATCCCTGTTCTTGATTGGCCAGCAAACTTGCCTGACCTTAACAATCTACTATAGGAAATTGTGAAAAGGAAGATGCAATATGCCAGACCCAACAATTCAGAATAATTGAAGGTCACTATCAGAACAATATGGGCCCTTATAACACCTGAGCAGTGCCACAGGCTGATAGACTCCATGCCACGCCGCATTGCTGCAATATTCCAGGCCAAAGGTGCCCTAACTAAATAGAGTGCTCTATACATGTTCAAACTTTTCATGTTCATACTTTTCAGTTGGCCAACATTTAATAACTTTTTTTGCATTGGTCTTCATTGATATTCTAATATTCTGAGATACTGAATTTGGGACTTTCATCAGTTGCCAGTTGTAATCAACATTAAAAGAGAAACATTTATCAGTCTGAATGAAAGGATATAATATACAAGTTGCACTGTTTGAATTGAATTACTGAAATAAATCAACTTTGTTTTCAATTTCTAATTTCATGAGCAGCACCGGTAAAGGCTCAGGAACCCTTAACAGGTGCTTTGGATTAATTGTTAGAGTGTGACTCTTTTATTCTAGATATTGAACCATTTCACAATATTTGAGTTTTCATAAGCTGTGAGCCATAATAAAAAATAAATGCTTTAAATATCCAGCTTTGCATGTAATGAGTGTCTCATTTTTTCACCTTTAAAGTTGAATTACTGAATAAATGAACTTTTGCACCATATTCTAATCTTTTACAGTATCACACAGCTGAGTTTTCCACGCAACACTGTTCTGAATACTTTAGCTTTTCCTGCTCAAACAGACCAGATTCAAAGGAAAGGATTCTCACCTAACAGTTGATTTGCTAGTGTGTAAACCACAATGAAGGTCATCGGTAGTTTATCACTGTATGCATGCATTTGTTTTTAATAAGCCGTTGATGTGAAAGCAGAGCTAGCCGTGCTGGCTGTGTGTCCAGACTATGTAAACATCTACGATTCAGATGCGTACTAAAACAGTCTTAGGGGGTCCGATCAGTGCAGAACATAATGCAATAATGGACAAATGTGGTACTGGTGTAGTGTGATTAGAGTGAAGGGAATATCTGAACGATGAACGGAACTAGCAGGAAAAACCAGCAGACTCCGCATTATGGTAGCACCGAAGGAAGTTTTAACATGTTATCCCAATCCAGTCCAATCAATATGTCAAAATAAATTAAACTAGAAATTCAGAGCATTTTACCCTTTATTATTGTCAAGTTTACATGTTGCATCAAAAATGTCAATGACATAATTCCATGTAGTTTTCTTTTAGATGGTATTATTGCATTCTGCTCCATATCACTAAAGTTAGAGGTGTTAGATCACAGCAAATAAAAGGTTTCCTTACAGGATCTTAAGTCAGCAGTTCACGAATCAACACTGAGGCCATCCTGGAAAATCTGATCAACACTAAACAGAGACCACTCTTGCAATGGAGGACAGTTCTCATTGGGAAAACATTAAGTGGTTTGGACACAGGGGAGTAACTTCCATTAGGTGGAACAATTGTGTGACATACTTATGGAAGCCAGAAAAAAATACCACTGACTCACAAGGATATCAGAGCAAGAAGTCAGGGTACATGATTCTCACATTTCAAGGTCAGTCAAAGTTCAGAATGTTAGCAGTCAAGTTTAGCTGATAGCTTTGTGAACAATTGAAAATATAAACTCAGACTGTACATGCTGCTTCTTTATTTCACATTGGAGAAGCCAACCTGTGCAAATAGCTGGTTAATCAGCTGGTTAATCGTGTCAATCATAACTTTCTTTACCGTTTTTACACACACAACAGTTATGAACGATTAGCCATTTCAGGACTGAGCTACGCATCAGATGTTTCAGCACCTCTGCTGTATAGAAAGGTCTCCAACTACTCTGCCTCAGCCAGAGCTTTATGTCTGAGATGTTTCTCCAAGCAGAAGACAGCAATGGGATCCATTTCTATGTCAAACTTGTTAGCAAAAAAATGGTGATGCTCTAGAAGCCACTGCAGGTCTCCAGCGCCGTACACACATATTGACCTGACATGGTTGCCTTGGCACTCAGGGTACACCGCTGACTCTGAATCCTGTGACCCCTCATGTGACTGCCACTTCACCAGCCGGGCCACTGCGCTGATATCCGTCTGGTCGTACTTACGGTTGGGCCAACTTGAGCCAGGAACACCAGAGATGCGTTGAATGGTTGCCCAGAAGTGCTCATCAGGACTGTAGGTATCTTTAAACCACTTGATAAGCTCCTCAATTCTGGAGTCTTCCAGCACGCTGCGGACATAACCTCGAGTAACCACGATGTAGGCACTTCCTGACTTGATGGGCAGGTTGAAGGGAGGTGGTTTCTTTGAAATTCTAGTTCTCTGAGAGAAATAATATAATATTCAACTATACAAGCAAGAAGTTTTTACAAGGACAGTCAATGAAAATGTTATTTCATAAATGCAATTAAACATTAACTCTATAAGTACCTTGATTTGCCCATTAATAACATTATAAACATATGATATCCTCTTTTGTTTTTCTGCAGGCAGGCTCTCTGACTCCAAGCTGTTGCTGCCCTTCAGTGACTGCAGCATTCGAACCATCTCCAAGTTGGTTTTCAGAGGGAAGTCCTGGCCACAGAGGTTGATGAAGTATTTCCATTTGGCACTGCCATAGTAAAGGTCAGCCATACAGTTCAGATCAGCTTGGACACGAGACCAGCCAGCGTACACAACACTGACCGCCTCGCTGACCATGAAGACGTTGGGGAAACAGGAAGTGATGGCCTGGATGGCAGATGTTACAGACGGGGCAGATTTTTTGTCCACGTGGACACAATAAATATTCTGAGGTGCATAGATGGCCCGCAGTAGACGTTCAAAGTTCTGCACCTAAAGTTTGTGGAAAGAATTGAGAAAACTGAGTTTGTGCATTTCTATGTATGCAGGAATATTACTTTTTATCCACTTTCAGAGGATAATCATTAATGAAAACAAAAATTACAATCAGCCCGTCAAAAAAAATTCTGTTTCTTATGTTGCAACACAAACAACTTCAAGTACTGCTGCTTTAAACCTGTAATGCCAAATTTCAGATTTTCATAAGTTTACAGATGCACAGATGTTACAGTAAAGTGATTTACACCCTGTAAATTTTTAAGTCTGATTTTACGCTTAAGAATTTACATACCTTGTGATGAACAACCATCGAATAAGCCAAAGGAAAGTCTTCTTCTTCTTTGCTTAAAGGAAAAGTTATGTATTTCCTCCTTGACTTGAATCTCCTGTAGGAATGTCACTTGTTATTATATTTATAGCTCAAATTCATTCAGCTAGTAACAAAAAATTGTGCTACACACCTGCAGTCCCGGGTTTCATTGATATAAAACTCATTTGGGATCAGAGCACTCTTGCGAAACTTTTTGGTTAAGGTCAATAGTTTGGCCTGCTCCAGAGATTCCTGCTTTCCTTGTATGATTCCTAAACAGTCACACGCTTTCTCTGGGCCTCCATCATCATTTGTATACTCCAGCCAGCTGTAACTGTGGATTAGTCCAGAGACCGTGCCTGTGTCCAGATGAGTGGCTAGGTAAAGCATCCACAGAGATGCTAGTCCAACGATGAGTTTCAGGTACCGCCGCTGACTTCCCAGCCTCAGCAACCACATTGTTTTAAGAATTCCTCATCTAGGATGGTTTTATAGGGATCTGGGAATTTTATAATGCTGTTCTTTACCATTAAAACATATCTTTCTTTTGTCTGTGTAAACTGTCTGAAATAATAAAAAACAGTGCCATTTCATGAACAAGGAAATTTCTGATATTTGTCGTTTCCCATGAATGGAGATTATTTTTCAAACTTCCTTCAGCTGGTAGATGAGTTGTTCCATTTGTCGCAGTTCCTGTTAGCAAAATAATAAAAGAAAATCTGTTAAATAATGTATTTGAAAACAATACTTTCAATATACCATGTGCAAGAGAGGAAAGAATGTGATGCATCAGCGGACATAATGTACTTTTCTTTCCATACCATACTTTTTTCATCCAAAAATGTTATTTTAAAGTTGGTTCAAATTGGTGTTTCACAACCCTTTTTTTAACTTGTCCTGCCAGTTGACGCAGACAGAATGGTTGGTTTGTGTGCCAGAACATGACAAAGCAGTTTTATTCTAAAGCAATAGGGATGTGGAATATTCCTCTTGTTGTTCCATAGCCTTTATTATGTTTGTGACATGTTAGACCGTATTCGCTTACGTATCGGAGTGGACAGGTAGGGAGAAAAGAGACATACAACACAAACAGGGAAAGAGAGCAAGGGGAAAAAGGAGGGACAACAGCACACAACAAACTAATTTGATTCTTTAATTATGAACACGTAATAATTAAAGAAAGTCCCCATCCTTGCGCTCTAAGTTTTATTGTACGGAGTATATTTCTGAAGTTCAGTTTTTGTAACAGCTAAAATGGAAGTATGTAGGTAAAGATTTTAGAGATCAAAGGGCACTCCAAAAATTCACAAACTGCCTAAAACATAAGGTATGAAATATGTCCAGCCATCCATTTTCTTCCGCTTATCCGGAGTCGGGGGGGGGGGGGGGGGGGCAGCGACCTTAGCCGAGTGGCCCAGACTTCCCTCTTCCCAGCCACTTGGGCCAGCTCTTCCAGGGGAACCCCAAGGCGTTCCCTGGCCAGTCAAGAGACAGTCCCTCCAACGTGTCCTGGGTCTTCCTTTAGGACTTCTCCCTTTTAGACGTGCCCGGAAAACCTCACCAGGGAGGCACCCTAATCAGATCCCCGAGCCACCTCAACTGCCTCCTCTCAATGTGGAGAAGCAGCAGATCTACTCAGAGTCCCTCCCAGTTGATGGAGCTTCTCACCCTCTCTCTAAGGAGGAGCCCAATCACCCTGCCGGAAAAACTATGTTCTTATGTATGAAACAACTGAAAAGGAGACCTGAAGGGATTGCCAGAACACCTTCGAACTCAGTGGGAATCATGGCTACAAGATCTTCAGAACTTGAAGATAAAGATTAAAAGGTTTTTCATTCCAGCTGATTTCACAGATGTCAAGCAGTATAAGCTTCACCACTTGCAGACGCCATCATTAATGGCTATGGGGAATGCCCTCTTTTGTCATGGGGAAAGCCCGTGTTACCCCCACCAAAGCCACCACAACACCGGTGTGGTGTATTTCCTGGAGGGAGTGGCAAGCAGTTTGATGGATGAATTGTGATTCAATCATTTAGAAGGGGAACCAGTGCTGGATTAGATTAGGTTTTTCCAGGCTTACACATTTCAGAGGCAATTAAATTTTTTAATTCGTTTGGCAAAATATTTAGTTTGTTCCCATCAGCAGTGTTGTGCCCGAATGCGTTCAGTGAATGATCGTCCGTAAACTCGTTCGGGTTTTTTTTTTTTTGTAAACGTGAACGGAACTTGTTCGGATTTTGCCTTAGCTACGAACGTTAAAGTGTGTGCGTTCATTCTGGCGTGCATGAACGGATTTATGAACATGTTCTTTAGACGTTCTAGCTCCAGATCTCCACGAAGCTTAAAGCCTAGCTAAAACATCCTGTTAACTATAGAGTTTATAAAAATTTGAACTTGCAAATGGATGGTAAAAAGTGCAGGGGACAAAAATTGACTTTGGAAACAGTTTTTAATTTATCACTTGAAACATCTCCAAACTGTGAAGGTTGGTGTCAAAACATGAACTTGAAATGATTATGCCTTTATTTCCACCCCATTCTTCAAGGCACTGGAGGAGTACAGACGCTTCTCTCTTTCGCTCCTTTCTCTTTTTTCCCAAGGCTCTTTGTCCTGTCTGCCCACAGAGCGCTTCTCTGCATTTCTTCTGAAAAACTCTATTTTTACTAACCATGGATTTGATAAACTGGTCATTCAATGCGATCGATAAGATTTTTTCAACAAGGAGAACGGAGCAGGGGGCTCCCACATGTCCACAGGGGACACACCCGGTGGGATATATGTTGGATTCCTGTAAGGAGTGGAAGATCATATGCCTCAACCAGCTGTCCATTGAGGACATCGAAGACGTGTGGATATTCGGCCTGATGATCACTGGATTTCTCCTGATTGGAGTGGAAGGATATCAGGTTTTCTGGAAATTTGGGAAGACGGGAGCGATTGGAGGGCGACCCGCACCCATGGAAAGCACCGTTCGTGTGGAGACTTCTCAGACTGGGACGTTACTCGAGGTGAATCGTAAGCTGGACAATGTTCTAGCTGCGATACAGGTATTAGTGCGCAAAATGGATGTCATCTCGGAGAGAGTCACCGGACGGTATGGACAGGTTTAAAAACCAAAAATTGGCTTCACTGAAGGACTGGAAATGATCAGTTTAAAGACTGAAGGCAGAGAGGAAAATTATCTCAGCCTGACCCAAACAAATTCTTGTTATCTGAATCTGACGCCATGGTAGCCTTGAGCTGCAAGCGACTAAAACCCCCACGAAGGTATGCAGACAGATGCTGTGAACCCCCAACCCACCCCCACCCCCCCCGCCTTCGGATTGGCGGACTTCAGCCTGGCGAGGTCATCAGCTGGAGGAGTCAATGTACTCTTTGCTTCTCCCAAGATCTCCCTCCCACCTGTGACTGTACAGTAGATGAGTGCCAGATGGCTGTTCTCGCTGGGGGAAACAGGAACCCAGCACCCCCATGTTATGTTGTGTTGTCTGAAGTCTGTTGCATATCTGTTGAGGTGTTTTTTTTTTTTTTTTTGCAGAGCAAAGCTGCCCTCCTGGTGGAGAGCAACTCTGAAGTGCCTTTTTTTCCCTCCACCTGAACCAATCCTCATGTAACCCTCTTATCTCTATTAAGGTAGCGCGACTCGGGTTGCGAATGACCACAGTCCCCAATTCTTGTCATGTGTCTTGCCCATGTATGTCTGATCTTTGAAATGTGTGAACTGAAACTATAATTTCCCTCTGGGATTAATAAAGGATTGATTGATTGATTGATTGATTGTCTAGATTACTGTAACACATTCTTCTCATGTTTTAACAAAGAAAAACCTTGACTGCCTTCAGTTGGTCCAGAACTTTGCAGTGAGGCTCCTAACTGGAGCAAACAGAAGAGCACACACCACTCCTATTCTAATGTCTCTGCATTGGTTACCCGTTAACTTTAGAGATCATTTTAGAATACAAGCTATAACTTTCAATGCTCTACATGGTCAAGCTTCTCCCTATATTTCTGAACTGTTAAAGCCTTATGCTCCAACCTGAGCCCCCAGGTCCACCCACCAGAACCTTCTAGAAGTTCCAAAGACCAGATACAAAAGTCAGGTGACGCTCCTTCTAGACTGTAGCACCCCAACTCTGGAGTGATCGTCCTTTACTGACAGTCTGGACACTTTTAAAAAACAGCTAAAGACCTTTTTATTTAAAGCTGCTTTTACCTGAACCTGCTATTTTTTTATTTTTTACTCAAAATTTTAATCTTTCAACTGTTTATGAAATTTTATAATTGTATGGCTTTATTTTTTCTGATGTTAATCTATTTCTGTTTTGAGAACATAATGATTTTATGACTTTGTTTTATTTTGTTTTGATCTATGTGAAAGACTGATGTCTGTGATAAGTGCTATATAAATAAAATTTACTCCCCCCCAAAAAATATACGACCTCCATGGATTCCTGGATGAATCACCTGTTAATCATCTGTAGATTCAAACCAGGTGTGTTTAAGCAGAGAAACAACTAAAACCTACATGATAGCGGCCCTCGAAGACCAGGATGGCCCACCCCCGCTAGATGGTCTCTCAGTCTGAATTACTGAAATTAATTGACTTTTGCAACATAACAAAAGCTATTCAGATTTTTCGATTTTCATTATCCGCACTGGGCAGGACACGATCCGTTCGACTATGTCTTCTTGAATAATAGAATTAGCTAGTTTTAGTTTTGTGGGGAAAATGTTAAATTAGTTTAGCTACTTTGTCATTCAAGTTGTAGGTGAAGACAGAAAAATGTTCAAATGTGCTCCTCGTCATCGCAATTCCGCTCTGCTGAAGACTGAAACACCTTTCCTAAGTGCGTGGGACAGAAGGAGCTCGGTGCAGCGCGCAGGTGAGACGATGAATAAGTTTGATAAAAGGGAAAGACTTGGATATGAAAAAACAAGGTGATGAGAAGAAAACATGAATCATCCGAGGTCCAAAAGGTTTGAGAGGTAGGGTTTGAGAGATTTGAGTGAAACGCAGCCTGAATGAAACAAGTTAACACGTTTGAAAAAAATATTTAGCGATTTGAGACAAAACATGAAAAAACAAACTTTTTAAAAATTATCTAGACAAATCTGTGAAATGACTAATCAAGAAATAATTAAAGATTTGAAACAATTAACTGTCATTGTCCTTAAACATCAGAAATTAAAAGATTTTTACCTGTGGTCAAATCTAAATTCCTCCTCAACTTCAAATATTGTGAACTAAAAGGCATCCACTGTATGAAGTGGAGTATTTGCTTGTTAAAATGACATTTCCTGTCATTGTGTTTCAAAGTAAAATCTCCACCCTGTTTTATTACTACATCAAACCCAATCGAAGCACTAGCACTGTTATCTGTGTAGTCTTCGTATCTATCTGAGATGTAAGTTTATATTTAGCCATCAAACATTATTGAAAAAATGTAATGTTTTATAGCCACGTGCTTTTATTTTGAAAACCATATTGTTTATCTTGACGCTACAATTTGTCATCAAAAAAAATTTGACATGCACCCGACGGAAGTTACTTCCGACAGCTGCTACACAGCGCCCCGTAGTGGTTCATTCTAGTTAGCAACAATGGATAGAATCAAACAGACTCCGCAGTAAGATCTGGTTGTACAATAAATAATACAATCAGTGATAAATAATAATTATTATAAGTTATTTAAATACTTCCTAACTGATAAACTGTCTGTGTTTTTCCATTATCTGCTGAATGAAAAGTCTCCAATTACTCTGATAATTAAAATGACATCAAAAATTCAGATTATAAATGCTTTATTTTTCCTTTCTCAAATGAGAAGTAAATGTGCGTTTGTGTGTTTCTGGACTGGGCTAAGCCTCCAATGCTTCAGCACCTCTGCTGTATAGAAAGGTCTCCAACTACTCTGCCTCAGCCAGAGCTTTATGTCTGAGATGTTTCTCCAAGCAGAAGACAGCAATGGGATCCCTGTCTGTGTCAAACTTGTTGGCAAAGAAATGGTGGTTTTGAAGAAGCCACTGCAGGTCTCCAGCTCCGTACACACATATTGACCTGACATGGTTGCCTTGGCACTCGGGGTACACCGCTGACTCTGAATCCTGTGACCCCTCATGCCCCGCCCACTTCACCAGCCGTGCAAATGCGTTGACATCTGTCTGGTCGTATTTACGGTTGGGCCACTTTGAGCCAGGAACACCAGGGAACCGCTGAATGGTTGCCCAGATGAGCTCATCTGGACTGTAGGTATCTTTAAACCAGTTAGTAAGCTCCTTTATTTTGGAGTCTTTCAGCACGCTGCCAACATAACCTCGAGAAACCACGATGTAGGCACTTCCTGACTTGATGGGCAGGTTGAAGGGAGGTGGTTTCTTTAATTCTTTCGTTGTCTGAAACATTAAATTAAAAATATTGTGATGAATATTAAGCACAATCTGTTTTATTAAGTAATTAATCTGTCTAGATGCTGCAAAAGTACCTTGATTTTCCCATCAGTAATATTGTGAACGTAATGTATCCTCCATCTTTTTTCTGCAGGCAGGCTCTCTGACTCCAGGCTGTTGCTGCCCTTCAGTGACTGCAGCATTCGAACCATCTCCAAGTTGGTTTTCAGAGGGAAGTCCTGGCCACAGAGGTTGATGAAGTATTTCCATTTGGTACTGGCGTTGTAGAGGTCAGCCATACAGTTCAGATCAGCTTGGACACGAGACCAGCCAGCGTACACAACACTGACCGCCTCGCTGACCATGAAGACGTTGGGGAAACAGGAAGTGATGGCCAGGATGGCGGATGTTACAGAAGGGGCAGATTTTTTGTCCACGTGGACACAATAAATATTCTGAGGTGCATAGATGGCCCGCAGTAGACGTTCAAAGTTCTGCACCTAAAGTTTGTGGAAAGAAGAGAATTGAGTTTCTGTGTTATTATGTTCATTTGTTCATCTTCACTTGCTTATTGGAGTTGTGATGTAAACACCTCCAGAAGAGATGCCCAAACTTCCCTTTCCCCATCAACCTCCACCAGCAGGAAACCCTTTCCTGGACAATGTGGAGATGTAATCCCTCCAACATGTCGTGGGGTGACCCGGGGGTCTCCTACCAGGTGGACATGCCTGACCCTTCTCACCTGGAAGGCATCCAGGGGGCATTCTCAACAAATGCCCAAACCACCTCATCTGATTCCTCTCAACACAGAAAAGCATCAGCTCCTGATGTTTGCCAGAACGTGTTTAGAGCCAGTTGATAGTCTACCTTAAAGTCCTTGCAAAACCCCTCCCACACGCAAGACTTTGCCTCAGCAATCGCCACTGCTGCACATCGCTTGGCCCTCCAGTACGTGTCAGCTGCTTCTGGAAATTCATAGACCACCCATGTCCTGTGCACCTCCTTCTTCAGCCTGATGGTTCCCCTAACCTCTGGGATCCACCAGCGAGTCAGGGGTTATTGCCAGACAAGCACCAGCAACCTTGCAGCTACAGCCAGCAGCAGCTCGCTCAACAATTGACATTCAGACTCTATGTTCTTCACTGCTTTCAGAGAGTGGCCAAAGCTTTGCCGGAGGTGGGTGTAACGGAATGAAGACTGTTTTTTCCCTTCTTTGCATCAAGATTAGTCTGCATGAGATATAGTCTCAAGGTCTCATGCATTCCTTCTAACCTGCTTATTTTCAGCTCAACAAAAGAATGACGATAAGCAGGTTAGAAGGAAGTTGAAGACTATTCTGACACGTTCTTCCTCCAGGCGTTCCCAGTAGACCCTCACTACACGTTGGAACCCATCAGGTCTACGTGACAACCTCCCCTGTCATCTGATCCAACTCACCACATGGTGATGATCAGTTGACTGCTCTGCTCCTCTCTTCACTCAAGTGTCCAAACATATGACCGTAGGTCAGATGACACAACTACATAGTCACTCATTGAGCTGCGACCTTGACTGTCCTTGTGCCACATCGTTGTCGCCGTCGTCTTCCTCCGCTTATCCGGGTCCGGGTCGCGGGGGCAGCATCCCAACTAGGGAACTCCAGGCCGTCCTCTCCCCAGCCACCTCCACCAGCTCCTCCGGCAGGACCCCAAGGCGTTCCCGGACCAGATTGGAGATGTAACCTCTCCAACGTGTCCTGGGTCGACCCGGGGGCCTCCTGCCAGCAGGACATGCCCGAAAAACCTCCCCAGGGAGGCGTCCAGGAGGCATCCTGACCAGATGCCCAAACCACCTCAACTGACTCCTTTCGATCCGGAGGAGCAGCGGTTCTACTCCGAGTCCCTCCCGAATGTCCGAGCTCCTCACCCTATCTCTAAGGCTGAGCCCGGCCACCCTACGGAGGAAACTCATTTCGGCCGCTTGTATCCGCGATCTCGTTCTTTCGGTCATTACCCAAAGCTCATGACCATAAGTGAGGATTGGGACGTAGATTGACCGGTAAATTGAGAGCCTGGCTTGTGCCACATGTACTGCTAAACTTATGTAAGAAGGTGGTATTCGTTATGGCCAAACTGCGACTTGTACAGCAGTCCAATAACAGATCACCAATCCGGTTCAGGTCAGCTGGGCTGTTCCTCCCAATCACGCCCTTCCAGGTCACACTATCATAGCCTATGTGAGCATTGAAGTCCCCCTGGATGGATTAAGGGAACACCATCTAGCACTCGTCCTATGGCCTCCAAAAAGGATGGGTACTCTGAGCTGCTGTCCGGTGCATAAGCACAAACAACTGTCAGGACCTGAAGGTGAAGGGAAGCAACCCTTTTGTCCACTGGGTTGAACCCCAAAATACAGGCAGAGAGTCTGGGAGCTAAAAATAAGCCCAACCCAGATCTTCGCCTCAGAGATCCCTCAGAGATCCTAGCCCCTCTTGACTTGGGTTCCAGAGCCAGCACTAAGCGCTGAGGTGAGTTCAACTATATCTAGCTGGAGTTCTTTAAAACGTATTGTTTTGTGTTTAAAATTATATTACTTTTTACCCACGTTTAGAGGGGAATCTTTAAAGTGAACCCAAGTGAGTTTGACTGTCATCAGTTTACTGTAACTCCAAGAACTGCTGCTTTAAATCTGTAGAAAAGCCTTTTTTCAGATTTTCATGATCTTCTCACGAATGCACAGGTCATTAGACACTATTTAAACATTACGTAGTTTTCTGGTACAGCAAGGCTAAGTGATGAATACAATTTTTAAGACTTTAAACTTTGACAGCTTAGAATTTGCTTACTTTGTGATGAACCACCATGGAATAAGCCAAAGGAAAGTCTTCCTCCTCTTTGCTCAGTGGAAATGTTAAGTATTTCCTCCTTAATTTGAAGTTCCTGTAAGAACGATGCTTGTTAGTATAAATGTAGCTCAAATCTGAACAGAAATAAGTTGATCAACACACCTGCAGTCCTGGGTTTCATTAATATAAAACTCATCAGGGATTTGGATCCTCTTGCGGAACGTTTTGGTTAAAGTCAACAGTTTGGCCTGCTCCAGAGACTCCTGGTCTCTTTGCAGGATTCCTGAACAGTTGCACACTTTCTCTGGGCCTCCATCCTCGTCTGTATACTCCAGCCAGCTGTGACTGCGGGTGAATCCAGAGACCTTGTCTGTGTCCAGATGACTGGCTAGGTAAAGCATCCACAGAGATCCCAGTCCAACTGTGAGCTTCAGGAACAGTAGCCAGCTTCCTCGTTTCAGCAACCACATTATTTTGAGTTCCTTTTCTAGGACACTTTATACACTTCTGGGAATGTTGTAGAGCTTTTCTTCACAATGAATAGGCTATGTCTCCTGCCTGTAAAACTTGTGTATCAAACATTAAAAGCAGTGCCATGTCTTAGACCAGGAAATGTCTGATACTTTGGTCTTTACCGTCAAAGGTGGGGTTTTTTTTCCTTCTGCTGATTGATGAGTTATATTTATGTCACAGTTCCTGTTAGCAAAAGAATAAAATAAATTTTCAGGAATGATGGATATGGATTCCAAAGCAATACTTTTACTTAGTGATGCACCAATATGAACTTTTTGGGCCGATACCGACATTAAGATTACTGTTATGGCTGATAAACGATATTTGCCAATACCGATATACTATGTTTATGTTCATGTTTATGTTTATTTATTTGGCAGATGCTTTTATCCAAAGCAACTTACAATGTATAACCTATAGGGCATGTTGTGATCTGACATTAATGCTTCTAAAATCAGAAGATTTTGTATATTATGAAAAGTATTAAAGCTTAACTTACATTATTATGTACACACAACACACACATTTACGGTTCTGAGGTGATTTCATTCATTGTTCACA